CCTCCCCTCCCCAGGCCTCCGTCTCCTGATTTGTAAAATGATGGGAATGTGGGCTTTGATTAAGACCCTATGATTGCCTTCTAACTGCTTCCCCCATCCCCTGAACAATGCTGCATAAAAGAGGGCTCAGTAAATAACTGCTGAGTAAACAACTGAGCTGAGGTACTGCCAGGGGGCCTTCCTTATGAATAATAAAGTTCCAAACCCTCCCATGTTTACTCAGCAAAGGTGATGGGCACGGAGAGATGACCCCAGATTTCACATCCCACCAGAGCATCCTCACCTGGAATCCCACTGTCAGGGCCATGTTGCTCCCCACTGGTGTTCTAGACCCAGAGTGAGCTCAAATCCCCTCTCCCACTGGCTCCCTCAAAGTTACCCAGGCAGGTTAAGGGGAAACACATACAGAAGATTCTGAGCCACTGGACAAGACCCCAGGCTCTGACCATGCTGCTGGGAGGAAGCAACAGACTCCCACAGCTCAAGAGGCTGATTCACTCCCGGAGGAACTTGTTGAGGCCCCTGCTCCTTAGTCCCCAGCTGGCTGCCCTATGACAACACCATCTGATATCTACCACTCGAGAGTTCAGTCACCACCACCCCAGGGAGAACTGCAGGGCTCCCCTCAGGTCCAACTCCCAGTTAGTCATGCTCCCCCAGGCCCTGCCCCTTGCCTGCACATGGGATGAGCCCTGGTGCCTCCCAGCTCCACTCACACTGCAGCTGCTACACACAGTGTCCTCAAGATCTGCAACAGACATGCAGTTGGCCAGGGCTGGAGGGGGCATCTGCCCAGCTGTGTACTTCTCTGAGGACAGAGGTCTCAAACCACTATAAATCTCAGATGTCCTCCTCCAAACAAAAGCTCACAAGGTCATCTGGTTTACTAAAACCCAGAGGCAGAGCTAGTCCAGTTGAAGGAAAGTAAGGGTCCAAGTGCAACCCCTCACCCCTGGCAGCCAAGCCACGGGGGCACCTCAGCATAGCCTTAGGCTCCTGCCCCAGAGAGGTCTGAGAACTATGATCTGGGGTTCTTGCCCACTTTAAACCCCCTAGTAAGACAACTCCAACAACCCAGCTGTCCCAGAACTTTACCACCAAGACTCCCCGCCCCAACCAAGCAGCTCACTATATCCACCCTGCCCCCATTTCCCCCAGCTTCTCCACAATTCTATGGAGGAAGAGCCAATATCTGACCCCCAAGGCCTGCCTACACTTCCCAGCCAACCAGCTTCCACATGGACAATGCCCTGTGTCTCCCTAAATTCAGGAGAAGATATCCAACCATCACAAGGACCCTCCCCTGAAAACTCCTGGAAAGCAGAGACCATGGGGTAAAGGGTTTGTAAAGATTAGGGATCCTGTTGAGAGGAAGTCAGGTACAGGGGGGCTTGGCTGGGCAGTCTAACACTCTCAATGACCTCCCCACCAAGTGCTATAGATAGCTGTGAGCCAGGAATTGAGCTCAGGGGCCTCTCACACACAAGGGATCCCCAGACCTCTCACTCGGTCCCAGTCTGCTCTAGGTGCCCCAAGCCTTCCCTGGACACTCATTAAGACTGTTCTATCCTGCAGTGAATTCTGGGGCCCTTGCCTATTGCTCTGGGCTGACACCTGCCTGGGCCCCATCTCCTTTGTGGCCCTACAATCTGAAGGAAGCTCAGTTCCCTAATGCAGCTGCCAGAAGACCTCTCCTTCCTGGGGCTCAGGGGGGTGATCTCCTCCTGTCCAAGGACTCCACCTCCTTGGACTCTGGTGGAGCAGCCTGACAAAGCTGGGGCATCTTCCACAGAAAATGACAGCCACATGGTACCCAGGCATCCCCTCATACAGAAGCTGTCCCAGATTGCTCTGCCTGGAGCCCCCGGGTGGTTTATGTGAAGAAAGGCAGAGTTCTAGCCCTTATGGCTCAGCTTGCCAGGCTGCCAAGCTGGGTAAGGCTGGCCAGATCACAAAGCTGGGATCTATACATCATTCTAGAATCCCCACAGAAACGTGACAAATGCTTCTCTTTGGGTTCCTTACAGTGACCTCCAGGACCTTTCTGTCCCATGAGGTCAATCCTGCCCCAGTCTCAGGCACATTTGCAGCTGCCAGGACAGCAGCTACTCTCCACCTTCCTCACCCAAAGCTCTGAGACTATTCACCCCTGCCCCCTGCCCCAGCCTACCAAGCCCTCCCTCCCATCCTTCTGGCAGCAGGGCTACTGGTCTCCCTTACCCCTCACCCCTCCTGAATCAGAAAGCCGATGGTTGCCGTCATTCCATCTGAAACACCTCCACAGCAGACCCAGCCTCAGATCCAGAGAGAAGGGAGCGCATACGAATACACACACACACACACACACACACACACACACACACACAGGCAGCCAGCTGTCAGAGCTGGGAGAGTCAGAAGAGCCCACAGGCTCATTAGCAGCCTCTTTTCTCTGGTCCCAGGGCAGTGGGGAAGCGGGCAGGTGTGGGAGAGCGCTTTATGTTCTCTTCTCTCTGTTTTCCAGGCTGAGAGAGGCACAGGGACACCCCCCTGTCCACTGCAGGCTCAGCCCCTTCCTCGTTTCACATGGTATGCTCCCCAGAACATAAGATCAGGCTAAACACAGGGGCAGAGGTGACTTCAGAGCACCTTGGGCCATGCCTCTACCGTGGGCAGCCTGGCATCTCCCTCACTCTCCCAGCTGGTGGACGAGCCCACAGCAGCGTGCCTCACAGACATCCCTGGAAAGCCCCTTGCTCTCTCTTGTACCCCTGGCTTCCTTATCGAAGGCAGGAAAGAGAATGGTAGCCCCTGCTCCAGCCCCCACCCCAGTAGAATCAAGCCCAGAGCACAGCTGACAGGCTCCCACGGGAGGAGGAGGAAGGAGGAAGGGCTTTCATCAAAGAAGTGACGTCAAAACCAGGCAACTTGTGAAGCTGTCAGGGGCCGGGAAATTTGGACAAAGGTGTCTAAAAATAAACCCCTGAAGCCAGGAAAAGGCTTTGGTGGCTGAGCTGCTCGCCACCACACCACATGCCACATGTCCTGTTCTGAGGTCTGGAACCCAGAAAGTCTCTTCCCAGGGGTGCCCCTCTAATCCTGAGGTTGAAGATGGCACCAACAGGACTGGAGACACTGCCCAGCAGCCTTTCTTGGGTGAAACAGTTGAGGCCCCCTCAGGACGCACGCTGAGCAGGCCTCAGGCACCAATGTCTGCCTTCCTACCCTTACTGCCAGCCAGCTACCCCAGCTCCTGCCTCACCCTGCCCTCAGCCTCCGCCCAACTCACCCCCAGGCAAGCACCTCCTCTTCAGTACCCTTCTGGCTGCCACTGTCCAGCTCACAAAGGAACTCCACCTCTATTCTCCCCGTGCCCCTGCCTACCACAGCAACAACTGTCCTGTTTCTTCTCTTCCTGTCCTTGACCACCAAGGCCACAGCTGGTGACCCAGTTATTCATTCTCCAGCCCTGACACCAGACTCTTTTCACCTCCTTAACCAACACCTGTCTGAACTCCCATTTCTATCACCGAGGCCTCGTCCCTTCCCCCAGGCTGCTCTGGAGAGCCATCAGATTCCTTCGAATCCACCAAATTCAAATTCCTGCTTTCTTCTACTGTTTGTTTCTCAGACAGCATCCCACTACACAGTCGACAGAGCTGGTTGCCCTCCCAGCCCCTCCACAACATCCAATCCAATCCAATCCGTGCACCAGTCCATCAGTTCTGCCTCCAAAACAGATTATAAATTTCCACCTTTTCTGCACCTCTACAGCCACTGCCCCAGTCCAAGCAACCACCATTCTTGTAGAAATCCTGACAGCCTCTTAAGCACCTCCACTGGCCCCAGGGATCTGGGATCTGGTCCCACCCTGTGCAGGATGAGAGCACCTGTCTTGTACACGTGTGGCTAAGAGGCTCAGATCACGTGTTCCTTTCCTGGCTGGAAAGGAACCTGACTTTCCACCATCTTTAGGTCAAACCCATGCTCGCACTCCGCTCTTCTTACCCCCTTCTCCAAGGGCTCTTTCAGGATTCCACCTGAGAGGTTACCTCCTCCAAGAGGCTGTCCCTGACCACTCTATCCAAGTTGGTCCCCTGACCTTCCTCACCATTCTTTTCTAGCACGTATCCCATTTTTGTCTGACGTTTTTTTTAAAGATTTTATTTTTAAGTTATCTCTACACCCAATATGGGGCTCAAACTCACATGCCTGAGATCAAGAGTTGCATGCTGTACTGACTGAGCCAGCCAGGTGCCCCTTGTCTGACATTTATTACCTGTCTCTACCATTTGCTGTAAATGTGTATCTCATATACCAACATTTCACACTGTGTCCAGCACAGTACGTGGTACATAGACATTCAATAAATTCAAGTTGAATGGATGAATAAACAATTGCTTTCAAGCCCAACTGGGTCATTTCCTAAAACCCAAGTTTACAAAATGTTCTGGAGGAGGAAGGATGTGCAACAGGGAAAATTAAAAAAAAAATCTCTGTGGACACAGAGACCCCCGATCAGATCTCCTGGTGGTTGGCTCTCTTCCTTCCTCCAGGTAGGCCAGTCTGCCAGCATTGCCAATGACCAGGTCAGGAACTAAAGGAGATAGGGCTGCTGCACAAGCCCATGCAGGGGCCAGGCCCGGGGCAACACATCAACATCTGGGGCCTGCCAGCCACAGCCTCAGGGCTCTTGCTTTGTGGGCCTCCAGCAGGAAAGGGTTAGGGTGGACCTGTCCATCCATCTGAGCCTGGAGTGGGGGCTGAGAACTAAAAATGGCTCTGGTCCAAGCCAGAGTTGAACTGACCAGGCTAGGTTTCTGAACAAGCTCCCTATGCTCCTAATAGATGCTCTGGCACCCACAAGGTCTTGGGCATTTGGGATAGATACCAGCAGCCTCTGCCCATCTTCCTAGCTCTATAGGCACCTGCTCCATGAAGGCCCCAGGGTATTGCCCTCCCAAAGGCAGCTTTTCCTCCCAGCCTAGGCAGTCCTCCCTGTCTCCCACCCAAAGGACTGGCTATCCTCCAACACACACAGACACTAGGCCTCTCACCTTGATGTAGGCATCCAGGGCAGGATGGACACGGCGGGTAGCCAGCCAGATGGACAGGGTGGAGGTGTAGGGGAAGGTGGTTGTCACCACATGGCTGGGTGCTGGGAAGGAGAACACCTTGAAGCCAAATTTCTGGTAAAGTTGGATGAGCTCAGGGGAGGGTAACTCCTCACCCTCACTCAGAATGCTGCCCACTGCACAGCGGCACTTCTCAGGGGGTACCTGGGGAGGAAGAGCAGGGGTGTCAGGGTTGGGCAAAGGAAGGGGGCTCTCAGAACTCTTGCCACCTGGGTTCTGTGCCAGCTCAGGCCTGGCAGAACCACCAGCTCCAACAGGCCACAGCCCAGATACCACGATGGAGAAGAGTATTTTCTTTCTGGAACTGATCTGTGGCCCCAGCCTCTGGCATCCTGCTGCAGGACTCATCCATCCCTTCCTTTATGCCTCCAACAAATATGCCAGGCCCTGTGCTGTGGAGGGCGAGCAGGAAGCGGGACCACACTGAACTGTGGATTGCTGATGAAACTGAGATCCTCTTCCCCAATCCCTCATGCTGGGCCAGCCACAATCACCAGAGCCTCCCGACCTCCTCTCCAACCCGTGCTCCATCCCAAGCCCTGACACACTTGCCAAGTCCCTTCTGGCTCAGGTGGAGACTGCTGGTTCCCCTCCAAGTCTCCCTGGGCCCCCAGTACCTGTATGTAACTGCACTCTGATCCCCTCCCTAGCTGCCCTCACCCTCCTGGATCCCATAAACTCAAGGCAGGCGGGGCTCCATGTGAGTCTCTAACACTTCCTAGGCCTGGCCCCAGGCCTGCAAAGCCCAACACTCACCTCTCCTTCTGGCATCAAGAGGCCCCAAGTTGTATCATCTCCTGCCACCTGAATCTACACCAGCCCCTGATACCCCCGGGGGTATCTGATCCTGAATCTAAGACACTCATCACAGACCTTGTGCCATCAATCCTGGATTTCCCTCTACTTGAAGGTCCCTTTCTCCCACTACCTGGGGCCCACTGACCCTTAAATTCAAACTCCCTCTACCTCCAGTTGCTTCTCTTGGCATACCTTCCCGCACCATGAAGTCATTTTTACCTGTTCTTGCTTCTGTCCTCTTTCCAAGCCCTGTCAACAATCCCCTAGGGGTGTCTCAGCCCAGCCCAGCTCTGTCCTTAGAGTCTCACTTTGCCTGGGACTCATGCCCCGACTCCAAGTTCTCACTTCTGTGCAGTCCCTGGGGGTCACTCCCAGCTCTCTGCAGCTAGGGCCCCCTTGCTGCTCCCTTGAATCCTATGTCATTAAGCGTAGCTCAGGGCTTTACTGGCAGGCACTATGGTGCAGCGGTCAGGACCACAACTTCTGGAGAAAGGCAGGACTGGGTATGAACTGTGAGTCGTGTAACTCTGGATAAGTCCCTTCGTTTCTTGGAGCCCAAGTCCCTTACACAATTGACGTATTGAATGAGATTCTCCATATGAGGGCTCAGCGTGGTACAGAACTCAGCAAGTGCTGTAAATGTTGTTGGTTATTAGCAGCTATGACACAGGCCCGGTAAGTGACCCTGGCCTGCAATGCCCAGTCACCCAAACCTCTGAACACGTAGCTCCTCCCTGCCCATTCTTCAGGCTCAAGCACCCTCCTGGGGAACCTTTCAGGGTAGCTCAGTGTCACTCCCCCCCCAACATTTTGCTGTAAACTCTTGCCTCCATCAACTCTACCTGGTAGCAGTCACTTCACTGGCCTGACACAGCTCCCACCCCACCCAGGCAGAGGCACTGGAGCCAAGTGCAGTACCATCTCTCGTCTATAGATGGTGCAGCTGCTCCATCCACGCCCAAGGCTTGGGGCAGGAGGCGCTGCCAAGGCCTCCTGCTGACAGACGGAGGGAGCGTGCCTGCGGCAATGCCAGTCACCATGATCCTGACCCCAGCAACTTATGATGTACAAAAGAAACATTCAATATAGCTTAGATGGAGAAACGGATGGAAAGCCACCTGACTGATCATCTCTGGCCTACCTAGGATTGGGTCCCAGGGTCTTTTCGGGGATCACTTCAGCAGCCTTTATGGAGCTCCCAAGCTCAACATCCTCATTGACCCGTAAAAAGCACCACAACACCTGTGACGACCCTGCTTATAACTTTTCAGTGGCTCCCAATTCTGCTCTAGAATGAAACTCTCAAGCCCAGCATGCAACACTGTTTTAAGTGGTCCATACAATACTGCCTGGATTTGTCCACACACTCGCCTAGCACTTTTTTTGCATCCCCAGGCCCCAGCAAGGGCCAGAACCCAGGTGGGCAGGTGTCCACTGAGTATCTGAGTGGCAGAGGGAGGGACAGATCCAGGCTCGGGCCCAGCCCACGTTGCCAACCTCCTCTCCCACCACAACACTGCACACGCCCACACGGAACTATTTGCAGCTCCCCAAACATGCCACGTCCTTCCATGCTTCCTGCCTTTGCGTAAGCTACTTCCTCTGCCTGGAATGTCCTTCTTCACCCTACTCCAGAGTCCCTTCTGCCTGGGAAACTCCTGCTCATCCATCAAGACTCAGCTCAACCCTCCTCCTCAAAGCCTTCTGATGGTCCCTGCCAAGCAGCCCTTCCTCTCTGATCCCAAATGCCGACCCGAAGGAGCAGGCCTTGTGCTGCACAGTAACTGATGGTCCCTCCATCTCTCCCCACCACTCCAGGCTTCTAGGCAGAAAGGTCCAGGATCCTGTGCACACATGAACTTCTTGGGGTATGCTCAGCAACAGCACATGAATGCCTGTACGTGCACACATGGGCCCTGCACATGAGCAAACCTCTTCTTCCTCTATCTCAAAAGAGGAACTCCCATCACAGGGAAGGGAAGAAGCTAATAAGGAAACAGGACTCCTGAGATCCTGGAGGTGTATCAGCCTCAGGCCCTCCCTTTCTGCCTGAGCAACCCCTCAATTCCACGAGTGAGGATACCTCCTGCACCATTCTGCCCTGGCCAGTAGCTAAAGGGCAGCCTAGGAAGTTACTCAGCAAGCCCACCACCTGATAAGCAGCCCTGTACCAGCTGGAGCTGCTGGAGTTCAGCAGCTGAACCAGGCACCAGCAAGGAGATGGAACAGGCCTGAAGACCAGCTGGGGAGGGGCAAGGCTGGTCAGGAGCAGGGGAAGGCTTCCCTGGGCTCCCTGGAGAGCCCATGCCCACCTCCAGGAGAATGGCCCACTGAGGTCAAGGGCCTAGAAGACAAAGGAGTGTCCTCATAGCTACAAACTCCATCCACCTTAGTTCAATGCAATGCCTCTATTTGGGCCTGACCCTAGGAGGTCAGCCTGGGCTTCCCAGTTCCATCTGCTTGCTCTCTTTCCTCCCTATATCAGTCATTTCTCTAGGTACCTGTGCCCAGAACAAGAGCTGTGAGGCCTCTGGAGTCCTGGCATGTGAGAAGAAGGCAGTCTGCTTGGAACCTAAAGCTTCTGGGTACAGGCTGGCCCCAGTGCTCCTACCAGAGGGCTCATAGTGCCAGGTTGACCCTGTTGGTGAGGTCATAGTGAAAAGAGAGTCCCTGCCTGGCTAAGACTTCACTGAGTCTAGAAACTGGGCAAGACTGGTATCTTCCAGGATCCAGGAAGGAAAAATGGTGTCAGTTGGTCCAGACCAAACCCAGATGTTGGGTTCAGTAGAAATGGCCAGTCTAGGACCTGCAACATCTGATGAAGACAGCTGCAATGCCTGCCGATCCCAGGCCCAGCGAGCTGCCTTGACTCCTCCTGGCCAGCATACCCAGCCCAAAGCTGCCCAAGGTAAGGGGACAAGTAGGGACAGTGCCTTCACTGGCACTGGTACCCCCAAGGGGAAACAGTGCAGCCGCAGCTGTTCATTACTGGAGGGTGAACAGTGGGTTCATTTAACCTTTGGGGTGCTGCAGGTCAACACACCAAGCCCCACAAACTTCCCCAAGCAGGTGGTATCCAAAGGCAAAAGCTGGTCTGGCACTAGTCAGGATATGGGTGACACAGACAGCAGGGCCAGAGAACAGGACCCGCATTTCAGGCTGGAGGGGAGGTGAGTAAGCAGGATGCCAACCTCCAAAGGGGGGCCTGGGGGCTTTCTGGGAACTCTCACTTAGAAGTCTTTCAAGGCCTTCTTTTCACCCCCAAGCATAATCCTAACAACAGCTGGTACCTGACAAGGTGCTCACCATCTGCCCCAGTTGCTGCCTTCCACGTATAAGCTCATTCAATCCAAACAACACTGTGCAATAGGTACCATTATCAACTCTTGTTTCTGAGGCCCAGACAGCAAAGCTATTCAGAAAGGGCCACACGGCAAGGCAGTGTTGGAGTCCGGATTCGAACCCAGGCACCTGGCTCCAGAGCTGCACCACAGGACGCGAAGCCACCTGGGAGCCTAAGAAATAAGCCCTGGCTAGGAACGGCCTGCATAATGGACCATCCCTATGCTGAGCCTCCTCTCATGGCCCAGGCATCCTGCAAGAGGCTAGGCCAGAGGCAGGCAAGCAGGGTTCCCAAAAGTACAAAGTCCTAGTGGCATGAGGCCCGGGGGAGGGGGTACCAAGAGTACTAAGCATCTACTGGGGGCCAAGTATTGGGCTTTATCCTCATTATTTAGTCCCCAGAAAAACAAAACCCCTGAGTTAGGGATTCTCAGAAAGACCAGGTGACTCCCTCAGAATCACACTCTAGTAAACAGTGGAGCCTTGATTCAAACCCAGAAAGAGTCCAAAGCCTTCTTCTCCTACACCCCAGCCCTCCTCCCTACCAAAGGCAGCTCTGCTTTCCAGGGCTGCCCCCCACAGTTAACCTGCTTCAGAGCAAAAGCCTGGACTCCATCTGGATGAAAACCATAACACGTAATTGGGGTAGGGAATGGCCTGGGCCCTTGCAAACATCAGATAGCCCACATTCCCACTGCCCTTGTTGAGGGGTCAACCCTGGGCAATCCTACACCCTCATTCCCTCCCAGGCTCCATGTGGTCTCAGTGCCTCCAGGGATCGCAGGGAGGCCCCATCCCCACACACACTAAAGGGGAAGTGTGGCACAGGCCTAAATCAACACTCTTACCAGCCTTAGCCCCTGCAGACTTGGTGGTCCCAGGCTGACTCTCAGTGGACTAGGAGAAAAAGGGAGCTTCAATACAGCCCAGTTTACTAAAGGCAGAACCCAAGCACCACCAGTTCCCCCATCTGCTCCATACCTGGGCCTCAGCCAGGTAAACTGAACTGGCTGCCACGCCCCACCTGCCGCAGCCAGGCTCCCCACAGGGCAGGCAGACAGGTTGCTTAAGGCCCAAATTGCAGTGGAGGCGGTAGCAGCAGAGGGTGGAGCAGGGGGTGGAGGGCCAGGATGGCACACAGGACAGGTCCATGGGCACAGTGACAGCAGCTGACCCAGAAGGGCCTATCTGCAGGCCAGAGCTGGCCAGGATCAAGTGAGCCACTCAGGGTCCTCCTGGCTCTTTCCCTCACCTCCAAAACCCCAGGCTCCCCGAGGGACCAGGCCGCAGACCCCACACCCCACCTCAAAAGCAGGGCTGAGGGCAGAGCAATTTTGACTCTTCTCCAGCTTTACAAGAACATAACTGGATCTGTGTGTGTGTGTGTGTGTGTGCGCGCGCACATGTGTGCGTGTATGTGTGCATGTGTGTTTGCATGTACACTGGGGAGGGGGCAGGCAGAGATCAGTGACTGACTCTGGAACTCACCCCTTCCCTTGGTACTTAGAAGAGGAAATGGCCGCACTCCAAGAATGCTGGGCCCTGGAGAGGAGAAGAACACCTATGAGCCACTACCAGGGTCGGTCCACTTCCTGTCACATGTTCCCTCATTCCTCCTCCTACCTCTCCAAAGGCCCTCAGGGATGGAGAATGGAATCCTTTCTCTTGCCCAACAAGAACCAGCTGCCCAGACCCTGCAACTTCTTCCATACAGAACTCCAGGATCTGGAGTTGACTGACATATATATGCTGACCCTCCAAGACACAGAGCTGACGAGGTATATATGCTCAAACAGCATCTGACATGAAAGAGTCCACAGCGATGGCCATGACCTTGCCTTGGTGGTGCCCTTTCCTGTGTCACTCCTGCGCCCACAGCCAGACCAAGTGAGGCCTCCCCCAGGCCTTTCTCAGAAATCAGCCTCCCCCTGTCCTGCTGAGGCCTAGAAGGGGAGTGGCTAAAGAGCTGTCAGTTCACACCTTAAGGGGGGAGGGCAGCAGATAGTAGGTGGCCACCTCTCACCTGGTCACTCCCTGCCCACTCACAGACCTGAAAGAGCCTCACTCCTCCCTACTCTCACACAGAAGCAGGTTCTGGCTCCCATTGTGCTCACTGGGGAGGGAAAAAGTGTGGGGATGGGCCACACAACAGCTCAGCCTACATCCTGTCCCCTCCGTCTGTGAACCAAAATATGCAGGGCCCCATGCTGGACACTGCTTAGGGAGGCAGCCTAGGGAGAAGGCTTGGGTTCTTAGCCTTCCCCAGGACTGGATGGGGTCTCTCACCCAGGCTCCCCTGATACACCCACACTGAGAGGTCCTGAGGGCTGGGCCCTTTGGTTTTCACAGTGCCCCAGTGCCCAGCAGTGTGGCACATTTGTTAAATAAAAGCAAAAAGTATGAGTGAACTATGTGAGATCAATACCTCAACTCCTGCTATCTGATCCTCAGTCTCCTCCTCTATCACATCAGCAGTGTGGACCCTGAGGCCCCAGGTCCTTATAGACCAGATGGTCTGTGATAGCCATGAGCACCTGAAGTCTGGGGGGGGTCCATGGTCCCCTAAACCCTCTGTGAGAATCCCTGCTAGGCAGAGAATATACTACCCAGCTCCCAGAATAGGTGGAGACTAAGCATCCCTGAGCTATCCCAGGTGTCAGGATATGACCTAGCTCTGAATGTGGACACGGGTTGTCTTCTGGAGTGACCCATGACTGAGAGGGACAAGATCAGAGGGACCACTTTAACCTATACATTCATCCTCTGAGACAGCCAGATGTCCACAACCAGGCCAAGGGTCTAGGCCTGGGTCATGAGTGCTCAGCCTAATGCCCAAGTGCACCTAATTAGCATGAATGTCTTGTCCACCCTTTTTTGTTGTTGTTAAACAGCTATCGAGGGCCAGGTGGTAGGATGAATGCCTCACCTATGTCACCTAATTTAATTCTTGCCAGACAACATATGAAGCAGATACCTTAACATAGCTCTATAGATGAAAAAACAGAGGCTCAGAGAGATTATGTGATATGCTCAAGATCATACAGCATGACAGTGATGAAACAGAATCAGAACCCAGGACTGCCAACCTTGAGGCTGTATTCTCAGACTGGCACCCAAGTCAGGCTGCACCCAAACAACCAGCCCCCCCTCCCCCACCCCAAGACAGCTATATGGTGGGCTGCCTGGAGGCAGTGGCTGGGCCGGCCATGGGGAGTGCACACCATGCCAAGATTCTTCTATCTCACTGTTCCCTGGATCAGCCTCTAGCACTGACCCCAAGGTACACTGATGCCTTGGCCCTTTCCTATCCTGGAATTAGCATTTCCAACCCAAGAGGCAATGTGCTGCTTTAGGAACAGGACACGCTGATGAGGAAAGAGGCAACTGCAAGGACTCTCCTCCTTCCCACTGAGGGCTTGCAGAGGGCTCCAACTGGGCCAGGTGTGGAAGGAGGGGCAGGGGTTTACAGAACACAGCCCTACAGGAGTGGGGGTCCAGCATCTGGTCTAGGAGATTCCCAAAGCCCAGCTCCCACCCCAGGTCATTTAGGCTCCAGCGCTCTCAACTCCCACTTAGTGCCATCTCCCAACCATGTGACCTCAAATCCTGTCTACTCATCCCTCAACCAGGCCAATGTTACCGCTCACCTGGGCCTAGCCCAATCTCCTCAATGGCCTCCCTGCCTCATCTCCTCCCCTCCTCCACCTGCCATCCAGTTAGCTTCCTAAATCACAGGGGGCAAACTGTGCTGCCCCTTGCCTCCCAACCTGCTGTTCCTCACACTGCCTGGCCCACGAACATTTCTACTGCTTTCTTCACCCACCACATGTCCACTGGCTACACTTTCCCTATCGTCCCATGTCTGCAAGCCTTTACTGTCGTACTTCTCTCAGTCAGAAGGCCCCTCCTGGCAGAGCAAAGTTCTACTCATGGGAGAAGTCCCAGCTAAAGTCCACCTCCTCTGTGAGCTTCTCAGGCAAACTTGAAGTACGCTCCCCAAACCTGCAGCTCAAAGCTCTACAGACATCAAGTACAGGGCCTATTAGAGATTCATTTGTATGGTGCTGACCTGCCAACCACGTGAAGGTTTTCTGAGGGCAGGGCCAGGTTTGTCATCTCTGGAGTGCAGGTGTCGAGTAGAACCTGGCACAGAGAGTCGGCACACATTTGTTTCTATAAGTGTCCCACTGAGACTTGGTAGGAGACAGTGGGTAGGCTGTAGGCCTTGCCTACTTGAGCTCTACAGGCAAGGAATCCAGAGCTGGGGATTCCCAATGGTCTGTTTGCCAAGGCTCAGAGCTGAAGGCTGAAGAACTCTTGGTAGAGCTGCCAGCCCATGCAGCTGTGTGCAGTACCACCCCATGCATGGCAAGAGGCCACACTGGTGAGCCCTGACTCACTACAGGCTGTTAAGTACAGCCAGACGCCCACAGGGTACCAGTAATGCTGGGCTCATCTCTGACCCCAGCATCCTAGATATTCTGGGCAGCTCACCTGGCTCCACTTGATCCCCACCACCCCCATCCTCTCCAAACCAGGCAGCTTAACATCCAAAGAAATGCAATATCACTGAGGCAGGGGCCACCAGAATGGCTGAAGAGGTAGGATTCTAAGCCCCATGCCCAGGACCTGCTCTCTCAACCCTTGAGGAGCTGTAGCCATAGCAGGAAAGCTGAAAGAGGGAAGGCATAGAAACAATAAGATATGACTCCAGAGAGAAGGTGGAATCTGAACAGCCCGGCCTTAGAGCACTGGCCTCAAATGGGGATGAAAGAGGGAGGCACAGCAAGAAGAGGCAGGGGACCAAATCCCTGGCAGAAACTAGGGACACGCAATGGTGTGGCCCCTGCAGTCAGAAGTCCATCGGTAGCCATGAGCCGAGAACCAGACCTGGGCAAGGAGAAAGGATGCCTGGAGCAGGAGTCCAGGTTAAATCTGGAAGGAGCTTCAAGCTCAGAGAGGAGGTGGTATGTAGGACCAGCTCACAGATTTTCCCACCCCTCCTCAGAAACTACAACACCTCTGCCCCATGTCCATCCATGGGGTGGAACCCCAGCTAGGGCACAGGAGGCTCCTTACCATGTGGGGATTGTCGTAGTAGACGGCGATGGAGCGGAGCTTGGGGGAGACACTGCAGCTCTCGGTGAACAGCCGCCCAGTCTTGCTGTAGGGCCCCATGTGGAACTTGTAGGCCACAGTGACATTGCAGATGGGGGGTGAGCCGGCACTCACTGCCACCCCAGCCAGCAGCCCTGAGTACCAGGCAAAGGCCAGCAGTGTCAGCAGCAGCAGCAGGGTCAGGCCCCCAATCAGGCCTAGGAGGAGCAGGTCAGACATGGCTCTGTGCCCCCGACACTGTGCCCCCAGGCAGCTGCAAAAGAGACAGGAGGGAGAGAAGGCTCCTCTGACCAATGTGCCCACCTGCCCACCAGCCACTTCTGGCCCAACCTCAGCTCTGCCTTGGGTGCTCTGACCCAGGAGGGGGAGGAGCCATGGTGTTTAGACACAGAGTGACCTAGAAGAGAGCTACAAAGGATGACTGAAGCCACAAGCCTCTTTATTTCTTAATCACAATTGTTGAGGCTCCCAGAACAGCTCTGCCTGTCAGCTGGCAGCCCTTGGTCACACCTGGGGAAACTGAGTCATAGAGGAGCACAGGAGTGAGTCAGCCAGGGACATACTCCCAGCCCTGACCAACCTCCCCCAAGATGGGCAAGACGTCAGCCAGGCTGCCTTTTCCCTACATTACCTCTTCCTTTCCACACACTGCCACTGCCTGCCTGACCTCCCCAAGCCTCATGGACCACTGCCAGGGGGAGGATGGGCAAGCGCCAGGGTCCGATCACTTATTAACAAATAGGTAAACCATAAGGAAAAAAAACCCCACGGGGAAAATGTGCCACAGGAAGAGACTCTCACAGGAAACTCTCCTTCTCTAAACACATCTGGCCCTTGGAATCTTGGTATCCAGCAAGCTCACCCATCCAGAACCAAGGAAAGATCAGATCAAATCAGCCTGAGCAGCCAGAACAAAGTCCAGCACTGTGCTTCCCAGACTTGAACCACTGGTGCCAACAAGCTACATCCCACTTTTCCAGCTCATAGGTTAGAAACTAGGAGGAGGAAGAAAAGTTTGCTAGAAATGGAAACACACCAGGGAGAACAATTATTCCCTGGCCCAAGCAGTTCATCCCATGGGGAACGGGTGCTGGCCTTGGGGAGAGTCACAGCTGGGTGTACTTGCTGCCCTGTTCTTCCCCTCCACCAGCATCTCCAGGTGTTCAGAATTATTCTTTGTGGTTTTGATCCTGCCACCCCACCTCCTCTACTAGGTAGTTCATAGAAAGGCATCATGGGGTGGGGTGAGGGAGTCTTTTTTTTCCTTTTTGTGTTTATGTCGTTTATCTGACAATTGTCCCTCCTCTTCACTGGCCTTTCCTCATTCCTCCTTTCTGTATGGTACAAGCAATAAAGACAGTCATTTCAATGTAGGAAAAAAAAAAAAAGCAGAGAAGCTATTCAAGAGCAGGTCCAGACACACAACAGAGGCTGGTGTGTGAGCCACTCAAGGAAGACCGTTCAGCCTCCATGAAGCACAGGGCCAGAAACCTAACCCTCTTATAAGAAGGTTTAACCTGAGTCACCCGGGGGGGCGGAAAAAATCATAGCACAGAGAAGACTGTTTAAAGAGGAAGGGAAACATGTGACCCATTGGAGGAACAGTCTCACCCCAAGTATTTAAAATTAATATTTAAAATTTAAAAGACTGGGAGCTGAAAGTCAACACTTCAGCCCTATGGAAAACTTAGCTCTATGGAATAATTTGTTCTCTATGGGTTCTGGGTGTCAAATTTTTTTTACTGAAAAATTGTCTTTGGAGTCAATGAACACATAGTGTTTGCCTCACAAAGAGGCAAACTAAACTCCTACACCTCTGATATCATAAAATTGAGATGCATCACACTGGTCTTCTTACCCATATGTGTTCCTGCCCCACAGTTGTGCTTTTTTTGGGATGCATTCGCTGTCCTACTCATCTTGCCTCTGGTTTCATTCCTGTTTTCTTTCATGATAATGATGATAACTCTTTTACCGAGTACTTACTATATGCCAGGCACTATCTAAATGCTGAAACACAGCTACTTTATTAATCCTCAAGACAAGGTAGGTGTGAATCAGGAGGTTAAGAGATTTACTCAACGTCACACAGGTACTAAATAGAACCCTAGACCAAAATGCAGGCAATGGGAACTCAAGTAGTCTGACTCCAGGCCCCATTTCCACGTTCTCCTTCCTGGTGACAGGGTTTCCAGAAAAGCTCAAGCTTTTTTTCTAATCCATGCTTGGATATCTCTGAACCCAAGGCTCTCAGCTGGAAGCTCTCACTCAGCAGCTAGGTCTCCACGTTGCCTTGAGAGTGACCATCCCTCACTTTGACCTACCCTCTCAGCTGCACACTCCCCATCCTCCTCAAAGCAACTTAGTTCCCACCTCCCTCTTCCTCTCACCTCCTAAACTACCCAGAATAGAGGGAAAATGCACCCCAGAGCTTGGGTCTGCACAGGAGGGAGGCAGGGCAAAGTGAATTTCCCCAAACTCAAGAGAAAAGGCAGGATAAGGGCTGGGGAAGCTCACCTGAAAAGACAGGCTCACTTCTAGCAACTCATGGCATCCAGCGCCGCAGGGACCAAGTGCTCCAAGTGCTCCAGGGCTGGGGGCAGAGAGAAAATCACCACTGAGCTGGGCATCCTGCCTTGACTGTCCCCTTTTCAGGGAAAGCCCACTAGGGCCTCTACAATAACTCTGTCTTCACAAGGTTGCACCTCTACCTCGTCCTCACACCCCTTCCGGAAATCAGAAGCCAAACTCGGCCTCATAATGTGAACTCTTACTGGGGCCAGGCTCATGCCCGTTTTTGGAGAGCCCTCTTCCTGGAGGGTTCCAGTCACCGCACCTCGCTCTGAAACAGCCCCTGCCGCTGACATCTGGCAGGCTGTCCCCCTCTGGCCCGCTGCCGGAGAGGGTCTGGGCGGGCTGTCCCGCGCCGGCTTCCTGGAGCTGCTCACTTGCGCCGCGGCAGCCGGCCAGGCCCTTAAACTTCGGTGCCAGCGGGGAGCGGAAAGACCCGGGTGCTGAGGGGCCTGCGCGGGAAGGAGGTGCGCCGCCTCCCACTCTGGGCTTCCAGCCCTGCTTACCCGCACCTCGCTTATTTACCCAGCCCCTTTCCTTTCAGCCACAACCTCACCGGGCCTCACACACCTCCGAAACTTAAGAGACGCTAAAGTTTGTAGCCACCGCTGCGAGGCGCGGCCTCCAGGGGCCGGGGCGGAGTTAAAGTGCGGTTCTTGCCTCAGTTCCCCACCCCCACCCCCCCGCTCGGGCTTCACGGCCTCGGGGCGTGCCCTGCACCGGAGGCCGAAGCACAGGCGACCCAGCGTGGTAGACTGGTCCAAGGTCGCGTTCGGGCCCTTGGACCGGGTCGGGGCCAGCTGCGGGCGAGACAAGATGCAAAGTGCGGCCTGGGCCGCGGGGGTCACGGAGGGGACGCGGGGGCCCCTGAGGTCGCTCCCAGGCGGTCGGAGGTTCCAGGCCCTCAGCACGCGTGGGGCCGCCCCAGCGGGACGCCTCTCCTCCGGCCTGGCCCTCACCTCAGCGGCCGCCCGCCGCGGACGCCGATCCGCGCAGGCGGCTACAGGCTAGGTCGCGGAGCCTACGCGCGCCCGCCGCGCACGTTCGCTCCGCCCCCTCTCGCGGCGGGACGTGGCCGTGGCCGTGGGCGCGTGCGCGCGGGACCCGGAGGGCGGAGGCCTGCCCCGCCCGGTCTCCATAGCAACGAGAGGCGCCCATTTCCCTCCCCACCCCCCACACTCCTGCCGTCAGGGGCGGAGCCCACTGAGCACCTTCCTGCCTCCCACAAACTTACCAGGCCCCAGCCGTGGGAGGCGGACGGAAGTCAGCCTGGTGGCCCACAGTGGAGAGCCAGGCTAGGGTCCAAGGAAGCCCTCACCAGAGCGGAGCGTTTGAAGAGGCTTGGGAAGTTCAGCACAGCAGTATCAGCCTCTGGCATTTATTTGTACCACCCTTCGTCCTGCCACTTTTTCTTCCTGAAGCTTCCCGACAGACCTGTGAACCCAGCAGGGTAGGGCCACTTGTCCCCCTTTTACAACTGAGGTAACAGACGCCCAACCTGGACGCAGGGAAGAAGCGAATGGATCCAACCTCTGGAACAGCGCAAATGTCAGTCACGTCTCCAACACTCCACCCCACCCCACCCCAACCAAAGCACAGGAGTGGTCATTCAACCACCCAGGATAGTTGAATAGTTCTAGGGGCTAGGATGGATAGTTCTAGAGGCTGGGGATACTGATGCCAAGATAGTTCTAGGGGCTGGGGAAATTGAGTGAACAAACCAAGGCCCCGCCCCCTTGGAGCTAACCAGGAACCGCCCCCCTCCAGGCTCCTCTCTCAGAGCCCAGGATGTGCTTGGGTGAGGCTGGTCTGCCCTTCTAGCTTAAGGTATTCTAGGTAACTCCCGGATCAAGTGTAAGCTCCTGGAACATAGGTTGAATCTTCCGCTCATATTTCTGAGGACCTACAAAGTACTCTCCTAGAGCCCCAAAGATCAAACTTTGCCCTCCTGAGAGGCCCAGTCTTGCAGTGGAGGGAGTAGGGGAGGGGACAACTATGCTCCTAAGCTTGGCTACAAGACAGGCTGGGCCAAGAGCTACCTTGGTGCTCCTGACAGGGAGGACCGATATTTGGAAGGGGAATCATCTTAGCATGGATTCCACTACTGCACTAGCAAAGGGCAGACTGGGCACACAGAGGCCCTCGTAATCCTGTCTTCCTTTTCCACTACTTCACACAGTTCCTTCCACAGGCAGGAAAGGATGACCCTCATCCACAGGGCCAAGCCTGTCCTCAGCTGTCTGGGAGAGAGCTTTCTCTGGCAGAAAAGAGCCAGCTGGCCCCTCACAGGCATTCAGGGCTGGGTTGGCAGGGTCATGGCAGTTCTGTTTTGCTTATGAACATCAAATACATGATCAAACCCTTTAGGTGCTCCAGGCAAGTGGGCTATACACTTGGAAGCATTTCCTATGGGATAAGAGCCAGTTCATGGTTCAGAGACAAGAGAGCTTCTGCCCACAGTTCTTTTGCCTGATCATTTTTCCTGTTTCTCAGAATCTGATGAGTTTTTCCCAGGAAACCATTGTATGGAGCTGTCCTTTCCTCATCTCATCCTCTCTGCTCACTTCCTTCAGGCTGGTTGGGGAATTCCAGAGGCCCACGTCAGAATTCAGGGTGTGCCTTAGGAGCTTCACCACCTCTGTTGTGAATGGAGAGTCAGCCTGTGACTGAGGCTTCTGGCCATAAGCCCCCCTCCTCAGCTTCATCTCTTTCGCCTCCCAACAGAGCAAGCCCAACCCCTGGCAGGGATCGCTGCAAGACCTCTGCTAGCCACCAGGAGGCAGCAGCCAAGACAAGCCGCCAAAGGAAGCGTTCCTCTTCCCTCTTGAAGTGAGAGAGTAAGCAGACCTGTTCACCTAGCCATCTGCCCTACACACACTGCACTCCCAGTCCTCTCCCCCAATAGCATATATTCTCTCATGAGCCCAGACTTGGCCTTTGTCTCCTCCTGCCTTTCTCTGTCCAAGAAATCCCCACAAAGCCTCTTTAATTCTCCCTCAGTAAACTTCCAGAGACTGTTTCCCTAGGGCTCCTCCCCTTACAGGGGGCAAACTTGGAGAGACAAAAAAGGTAGACTACCCCCACCTTCCTTTACCTCCTCATGACCCACTAACTCGTGACAAATGGAGAAGGCATATGCAGTGTAAGATGATCTGCCACCAGCCATCTCCCACCCGCTGAAGGCACTGATGCTGTACCCAATCCCCAGTCACCCAGTCTGGTTAGGGCTGCCCAGCAGGACTTGTGATTGAGGACCATCTAGCCTCAGGCCACTCTGAGTCAGTTTCACTGTTTGCTCTAGAGCCAGGAAATGTGGCCCTTTTCAGGGGAGCAAAGGCAGAAAAAGCCTAGTGAACCCCACCTGCAACGAAGCCTGCCAGCAGTCTGCCCTCTATTCCTCCCTCCCTCCCCCACCCCCCCAAGTGCCATCCCAGTGCCCACTATACTGTTATATCCCTTTCACCACCACCCAACCAAACAGCTGTTCAGACAATTCCTTGATCAAACAACACTGCCTTCTTGAGTTTAAATTTTATTTTACAAAAAGAGAAATAAAGAAAACTGATAGGCAGTTATACTGACAATTGTTCTGTTTGCTTTTTTAAAAAAGTGACATGAAACACAAGTAAAAATAAATACGTCATAGAAACAGCCAGTTGCCCAGTCTCTGGGGCAGGAGCACCTGCCCTGCTGAGAGAGGAGGGAAGCCCATGATCACACCAGCAGCTGGAGCACCCAGCCACAGATGCTCCTCAAAGCCAGTCGCAGCAGGTCCCAGGCCTCAGGGGGTGTCCTGAGGAAAGAAGACGGAAAACCAAAGCCAGGTGCCAGGTCCCTGGGGCCATTTCATATCCCCCCACTCCTCCCGGCAGCAGTGTGGCCTTAGTGGTTATCCATTGCGACCCCCTCAACCCACCTGGACCCCCTTCCCCTGACCCTTCTGCAGAGGGTACAGAAAAAAACCAGTCTTGGGCAGGCTGAGGGGGATTTTTCCCGTGAGTCCCCAGCCCACCCTGAGTAACAAAACCAGATAACAGTTTACACCCGTGTGCATAAGTGCACACTCTATCTCGCACGTATACACGTACGCACACACACTCAAGCGCACACACACTTGGGCTGAGCTCTCTTCCAGGAGGGTCCTGGGTCAGGTCACAGTATGAGGTCCCCTCTTCTGAATATCACCCCAGTAGTGGTAACAGTACCCAAATCTCCTCCAGCCCTCTGCACTAGACTCTGCAGCCTACCTGGCTACCTCTTCCCAGTGCACTGGATTACTACATCCAACCAACCTGTGAGAGGAAAGGGGCTGACTCAGGTCCCTGAAGAGTGAAGAAGTTGGACACTGCCTGCTTGGAAAGTTCATCGTTAAGACTTGGGTATTCATAAAAGGCCTAGGGCCAAGCGAGTGGCACAGAAGAGACATGAAGGGGTCACATCGGAACACACAGGGCAGAAGAGTCAGTAGGAGGGGACAGAGTGGAAAGCGCAGCATTCTCAGGCCTTGAGGTGCAGATTTCCTGGGAACAAGTCAGAGGAGGGCCAGAAAGTCTCCTGGGGGTCCATTGAGGGAAAGAGCTCTTCTCTCAGAGTAGGTTTATTGGGGAAAGAATGACTTAACTGGGTGCACAGGAGGCCATGGCTCAGAAGGGAGACTGGTTTTCTGAGGAATCACAGGAAACTGGGAAGTGGGAGGAAGGGGGTCATGGCCAGGAACACTAGGAATAAGGAATGTACCCCCCCCCCGACATTCCCCATGGGATGAGGACTCAGTTTCAGAGCAATGCCAGGCTTGAACAGACTGAGACAGAGGGCCTTGCTCTGCTGACAGCTTTGGGAGTGACAGTATCTCCACCCAGACTAAAGTTTGGTTGAGTGTTTCAACTTATCAGCAAAACTTTACCCCAGCTATTTGCTTCATGCCCTGGAGAGGGGAATTTCATATTTAGTTGTGAATCACAAGTATACAGAGAGATACCACACACTAATTCCTAGGGAAGAGAGTTCCAAGGACTAGAAAGAGATGCTCAAGAAGCACAACTTGAAGGGGGTGAGGACTTGGCAGATATCCAATGATCTGATCCAACATGGTTCACTTACTTTCTTACTGAAATGGCTACTTTGTCTCTGGTTCAATTTTTATCCACAACAATGTTAAGAAAAGGAAATTGAGTATCATTACAAATGGTAATCCTGAATCATTACGTAGTACTATATTCCCCTAGCCTGAGGATTTAGGCTAAACCAGATGGATGGGGCTTGAGAGGCCCTTGAAAACATTCTATGGAAGACAATGGTGAGGGAAAATGCTGAGGGGCCTGATCTACTGCCTACCCCTACCCCTCCCCACCCCATATCACTACCCTTCCCTTACTCAGGCCTGGATGGTGGGTGGAAGCCACCACCAAGTGTTTCTGATCAAAGAGGCTGTAAAACATGGTTCTTAGGCTGAGACATTTCCTGCTTCCCTCAGACACATGCTCATGTTTGGTGTGCACGCACATTGCCTACCAGCATACACAAAGAGACAGCAGAAAAGTCAGAAAAGTGTTTTTTAGATTAAAAAAACAAAAACCCAAAGCATGAAACTGGTAGCATTCCAATTTCCCATGATCCCACCCCATACCCCCTATACAATATAAGCTGCACATATCAAAGAAAGCCTTCCCTAGCCAGGTCAGCCTCCCAAAACTATTGCCTCTTCTGACCTGAAGCAAGACCCAGCCCCTGGAATCAGTGGGTAGAGAACAGGTATGTGCTGCCTCTCAGAATACCCATTCACTTCCTGGTACCTTCAAAGGCCCATCCTTCCAGTGACTGGTTTCAATTCCTTGCTGATAGTTTCCAGATTCTCAGAGCCTGCTGCTGTGACTTCTTAGAGGTGAACACAGACATACTCCTCCTTCCCTAACACCACACACACACACACACACACACACATCTCTGGGATCCCAGGATTCCGGGGCCTTAGAGGCTATCAGTTGTAGCCCAGGTTGTGAGTGTGCTCTGCAAATCAGAGATCCAGGCTAGCTCACTCCTACTGCACCAGTCTCAAACCTGAGAGCCCACTCCAACTGAGTCCCTTCAGCATCCATTCCTGGGATGCATCTGGAAGAGAAAGCACTGGTTGGAACTGCTATTTTAAAATTATTAAAATAATTTGCATAGCTAAATTGTAGATCTAAGGCTTCTATGAGTAGGAGAGTTAAGTGTCTGACAGGGTACCTATGAAAAAAGAGAGTGAAAGCTCCTTAAGTTCCACTCTTGGTGCAACCAGACAGCACACAAACGTGCGCACGCACGCACACACACACACACACACACATGCATGCAGCCCCATCAGCCATCTCTTTGTCTCTTCTCTGGGGACAATACCCCAGAATGTGCTAAAGCCCTCCAACAATGGAAACAGGCTGGTCAGAAGGGTTGCAGAAGCAGCTACTATGAAGGGTGACCTGGCTAAGCTGCCTCCAAGGTTGGTAAGAGGCAGGTGCAGCAGCTGCTCAGTGAGGAGGGACCCATGAATAGGTGGCAAAACTCTAAAGCCAGACAGGTTTGTTCATCATAAAGAACTGCCTAGCAAAGTGTCAGTGGCAGGGGGAAAACGAGTCAATAGGAAGACAGCCAGTGTTTATGCTTAAAGACTAGATGCCCTGCCCCCCACCATTGGCAACAAGAAAGAGGAGACCCAGAATGACTGATGTATTTTTTTCAGACAAAGGCCAGACTTAAGACTCCTACAGAGGAAGGGCTGCTCTGTGTTCCTTCAAAGAGGACAGAGATAACAGACACCAGGCCCATAATGATCATCTGATAGGCTGGGGAGGCCAAAACACTTCCCAAAAGGAAATCAATAGTCTATTCTCTCAACCCAGCAGTCACCTATGTATGCACAGCTTCACTATTCAGACAGAGGGCCTGCCTCTAAGGTCATCCCAGGAGGACACAGCTCCAAATCTGGGGTCACTGACTTTCTAATAGCAAACGCCATGATCCCAAGTTTCAATCTCTGTGGAATGAGTCTCACCCCCACTAACTATCCAGTCACAAGATTCTCTGATCTTCCTGAGAGGCCATTTCCCGAAAACATAGTCATTTAGTGTAAACTTTGGTCAAGCCTAACTCTCTTTCCTTGGTCAATTCACTATCTACCTGGGATTTATTTACCCCTATGGGGTCTGGGAGATCTTAACATTTCCCTTCCTATCTCCTACCCTCCCCAAATCCACCCCCCCCCAAAAAAGACACATGGAAAAGTCCAAATAATAAATAATTGCCCATAAAAAATAAATTAACATGGAGCTTTCTAGCAGGGAAGCAAAGGAAAGGAAAGGCCACAAGGACAGGCAGGTGGGGGCTCAGTTCCATCCTTGTGAAGGTCTATTCTGGTCACAATTCCCTGACCTCTTGCTCACACACCGCAGTATCCCCGTCCCAGCCTCTGCACACACACAATCTCACACCCTGGGAAGGGAGATCTGCTCAGAGACAACCACTGGAGAAAGACACAGAGATTGGTAATGCCCATTTTCTCTCATAATTTCCCCCAAATTCCAAAATAAATGCAGCTATGAAGACCAGGGACTTGGATTAGCTGGGCCTTCTCTTCACCCAACTAGAAGGAAACTTAAGGGTTCCATGGCTCTTCTCCTGGGCTCATCCCGATGTTCATACTAATAGTTGCCATGAACCACCACACTCTGATTTCCATTTAAAAACAATAAATTCATTTTTTAGTTTCCCCCTTCGTCTTTCCCACCCTCCCCTCCCACCACCACCCCTGCTCTGTTACATACACATACAGACATAAACATAAACACACACACACACACACACACACACACACACACACACACACACCTGGTCTGTTTCTTTCCTGCCCCTAAAAGGACTCCACTTCACATGAAATCTCAATCTGTTCTCCCCGCCCACCCTTCACTTACCCTTCTTCCCGCCCCTCCCCTCTCTAGGCCAAGCTAAGTCACCCAGTAAGGCAGCTCTCTTGGGAGAGAATGTTCCCAAAGACAGAAATGGGATGTGAGCTTCTACACCCAGATGGCAAGCAAGCAAGCACACAGCATAAGCAAGGCAGGCAGGAAGAGAGGCAAGCTGCCCTGCCCCTCCATTCCTGTTTTGGGTCCCTGATTTCCCGCTATTGCTGCTCTGTTGGCTTTTTTTTTTTTTGCCTCTTTTGTTAAACAGCAACAGAGCCCTACCATTGTGGTCAACCACCTTTCTTTGTCCTCTTCCTTTTCCCTCCTGCCAAGTGCCCTATTCTCAGAAAGCCCAGATTGCTGCCTTTCAGCTTGGTGGGCAACCTGCCAGGGGCCCCAAGTGAGGTGGAGAGGGGCTCCCCAGCTATTTCCCAGTGACCTCTATCACATCATCATCCTTATCCTCATCATCATTGGAGCTGAACCCCACCTCAGCAACCTCATGAGAGTCAAATGGAGGCACCTGGGACCGGAGGAGGCCGCCAGCTGGGTAGCCTGCATGTGGGGACATGTAGCCTGGGTAGACAGACATGCCCCGTGAAAGGTTGCTGGGTAAGACAGGGGAAGGAAAAGGCGCGAACATCCTCGGCTCAGACAGGAGTGGCTGTGAGAATGGGAGTGAGTAGTTGGGTAGTATCCCTGGAACAGAGGGGTTGAGCATGAAGGTGGGGTTGCTGGCAGTGACTGAGGTAGCCGTGGAAGAGGAACTGACGGGGCCTGCTGGCACCAGAGGGTCAGTAGTCACTGGAAACACCAGGCGGGCATCTGCCAGCAAATTGGACAGCTGGTAGTAGGAGGGAGTACTGCCCATAAACAAGGAGTTCTCCCCAGCCTGGGAGGTGAAGGGAGCGGTGAGGTTATGATTTAAGGAGACGGGTGGCATGGCAAACCCGCCAGAAACTGGATACCCGTGTTCATACGGCTGCACGGGGGCTGGCAGGTGGCCCTTCCTGGACCGCCGGCGGGCTGACTCCTGGGCAGCAGGTGGTGTGGCCAACTTTCGCTTATGGCCCCGTAAGTCCAACACTGGGTTCCTGTCACCACAGGGCTGGCCGGTCACCAAGAGGGAACTATTGAGGCAATGACCCCCATGTCGAGGTTCAGTCCCGAGAGCTGTCCCAGGAACAACAGCACTGCTGTCCACAAGTTGGCCTGGGGGGCCAGGCAGGGCGGCATTGGAGCTTGGGGAGCTCTGTTGGGATTCCCTGGCGGCAGCCACATCTGCATACTGCTGGAGCTCACTGATGATCTCCGGGCTGTCTGGAGAGACGGGCCTGGCCAGCCCCTCAGGGTCAGGAGCTTTGGGTGATGAGGCACTGTGTCTGCCGTTGCTTGTGGACTCGAGAGAAGGCCCCTGGGAACCTGAAGAATAAAATGTAGGTAACTGAGAACCAGAATGGCCAGGGAGAGAAGGAGGGTATAGGAAAAATTTCATTAAAAAAATAATCTTGTCCCGTGGTCCCCCAAATTCAAAAAGTCTGATGTCCAAACAACATCCTCCAGGCAACTTTTCCCAGTCACAGAGAAAGAAATCCTTTGATCTAGGAAACAAGACATGTAACTTCTCTGCACCCCAGTTCCCTAAACTGTGAAACTTGACCAAGGTGAATCCTAGGAGATAATGAATATGAAATGCTAAAAGATCATTCTAATAACTAGCTGGATTCCTTCTGAGAAGGGGCAGAGACAGCCAGTGACCAGGATGGGAGAGAAAAGGAAAATGAAAATTATTTTTTTTTTTTAAGATTTTTAAAAAATTATTTATTTATTTGAGAGAGAGAGCACAATCAGGGGGAGTGGCAGAGGGAGAGGGAGAAGCAGACCCCCCGTTGAGCAGGGAGCCCGATGTGAGACTTGATCCCAGGACCCTGGGATCATGACCCGAGCCAAAGGCAGATGCTTAACGACTGAGCCACCCAGGTGCCCCGGAAAATGAAGTTTAAAAAGTGGTCCATCCTGGTTTAAAAACAAAACCAAATCCACGGCTGTGAAAAATGACTGGGACAAGTGGGGATACGGCCTGGATAGTAGGTAATATTATGGAGTTGTAAACTTTTGTTTTAGTGTGATAATGGTGTTGTGGCTAGGAGAATGGCCTTATTCTTAGGAGACGTGTGCTGAAGTATTTAAAGGTGAAGTGACATGACATCTTCAACTTCCAGATAGTTCCAGTAAGAGGAAGGGAGAGACAGAAGAAAGTTTACGAGAACAGTAACAGTCACTGGATGACTAGATGCGGGGTACATGGGTGCTATTCTTTCAACTTGTCTGTAGGTATGGAAATTGCCATAATAAAAATTGGGAACAAGAGCAGTGTAGTGCTCACACTCCATGGCAGGAGGATAGATGAGAGCCACTCCTGTAGAGGGGAACCTGGCCAGACCTCTTAACACCGTTAATGTGCCACACGCACACTCTTTGACCTGCGCTCTCTCTCTCTCTCTCAAGTAAATAAAGAAATCTTAAAAAAAAGAACGAAGAAAACTTATGTATATATATTTAACACAGAGACTCACACACACACACACAGGTGCACACATACATACCGATATATGTAAAACGTATCTCTAAAAAAAGCAAATGAGAGCAGCACCACCAGAAAGGAGCAATAGATGACTGGGTGCTTGGGGGAGGGGGAAGAACTTACTTTTTACTTTACCCCCCTTATACCTTTTGAATTATGAACCATGTACACATTATTCAAAAAATAAATTAATTACAAACCAAAACAAAACAAACAAAAATGTGCCGTGTAGGTCAATAGAAAGTAAAAGCCACTATACCTGAAGCAGCCATCCGACCATCTTCCGGGACCTTCGGTTTGCCAGTTGCCCGGACAGCAAAGATCCGCCCGTCACTGGTGCGGATGTACGTCCCTAAGAAGAAAACAGGAGGAAGACTGCTAGGAGCCAACATGCAATCAGCCAACTCTGGGAAACTCCAGGCTTAGGCACCATGGGCTGGGAAACAGCTATAAAATTAGGTCTCACACCCTCTCTCAAGACCCCTGAAATGACAAGTGTAGTGGCTGAGCTGTGGACCCGATGTTATTCATTCATTCCACAAACAGGGCACAATTACCACATATGAGGCATTGTCCTAAACACTGAAGAACACAGACAGAAAAGGGCCCTGTCTCATGGGGAGGAGACAGACAATGATGCCAGAAAATACTGGGAAAGGTTAATGCAATGGAGGAAATAAATGGGATGCTGGGAGAGAGAGTAAGTTGGCTGCCTTGGTTCTGGGCAAAGTACTCTGGCAAGGGTCCTCCTCTTGATCTGGGAGGAAAGAGCCTCATTGCCTCAACACCCTTTTCTCCCTTGGTAAGAATAATTCAAGACCAGCATTCTATTCCCACAGGGCACTAACCTACCTTCTCTGTCTTTTGATCAATCTCCTGGAAGGTCAGTGTTGCCTCTAAGTCAGAGGTCAGCAAACATTTTCTTAAAGGGCCAGTGAGCAAATATTTTTGCCTTTGTGGGCCAAAGTGTTGCAACCACTCAACTCTGCTACTATAGCATGAAAACAGCTGGGATTGGCTGTGCTCCAAAGATCTTTATTTACCGACACTGAAATGTGAATTTCATATAATTTTCAGGTTCCACAAAATATTATTCTTTTTTTTTTCCAACTAATTGAAAATGTGTAACCCATGCTTAGCTCACAGGTACAGAAACAGGAAGCAGGCAGGATTTGGCCCATGGGCCATAGTTTGCTAACCCATGCTGTAGGCTAGGAAGAGCCTAGTAAGGGGGCTGGGTATAATCTCTGTGTGTCATGTGCTTCATGGCATCTTTTCCCTGAGCCTAAAGGTACTTTGACCCAACAGAGGCTAGGGTAAAATCTCCTTGCTAAACAAAGAACCTCAGGGAGCCTCATACAGTAAAGGATGATATGAACGATAGGCTCAGATTACATCCTGACAATGTCCAGTCCAGAATTCTCATCCCAGCAATCTCATCTCCCTCTGTAAGGGGCCACAGGCAGCAGACTTTTTAAATTACTACACTCAAGGGGCGCCTGGCTGGTGTAGTTGGTTAAGCATCCAACTCTTGGTTTGGCTCAGGTCGTGATCTCAGGGTCCTGGGATCGAGCCCTGCACTGGGTTCCACACTCAGCGGGCAGTCTGCTTAGGACTCTCCCCATCTCCCTCTGCTCCTCCCCCACCCCTCTCTAAAATAAATAAATAAATCTTAAATTACCACACTCAAAATATCTGTCATGCAACCCACATACACTAATTCATCCACCCAACACACTTCCTAGTTGGAGACCTCCACCCGACTCTGAGCAAGTAGGTAAGATGACACAATAATATACATGTTAGTTTATAATCCATTCCACAGCTCCTTCCCTCCACTTTTGGTCTCCCTGTGTGTAGTTTAAATGCCAGGCACTAAGCTTTTGATGGTTAAGGTATCTATCTCGAATAAACAAATTGCACCTATATGACACATCTACTAGCTAAACAACTAGATAAGGAACCAGGCTGTCCCCATCCATGAAGTTCCCCTTTTAGAAATCCCAGAGTAGTCTACGGCCATACCACCCTGAACGCGCCCGATCTCGTCTGATCTCGGAAGCTAAGCAGGGTCGGGCCTGGTTAGTACTTGGAGGGGAGAAATCCCAGAGTAATCCAGAAAACTGAACCTCGAGGGACCCTGCTTTTCCCTTCCCATGCCCTAATTCCAGCTCTTATGTTTTAAATTCACCAATGAAGAGTAAACCCATAGAACTCTAACCACCCCAATTCCTGGACTCTAACAGAGCCCCAAGTCTTCTCTCCCTCTCTCTCTCTCTTTACCCATCACCTCACTGTGTGGCCCTGGGGTGCTATGTACCCTCCAGGATCTGTGAGTAATAAACTTTATTTTTTCAAAGTTCACTGATGGTTTAGCTGAGGTAACATCTTGCAATCATAGTAAGAACCACAAGTGCCAGTCCAGCCATGACACTGGCTCTGACAAATGTCTGTGGGGACTTGCCACAATTACTAGGTGAGTGGTGAGGAACTTCTAGCTGATAGCATCACTATCAACAGGCTGAGACTGACACAAAACACAGTGTCTATCCAAACCCACCTCAAGATTCTCCATAAAAACAATGGTAAATATGGGAATGCACGGACCCTAACTCTCTTCTTTTAAGCCACTGACAAATCTCTTTTGGGCCCACCCCCACTCTGCTAAGCTCCTAGAAATGTCTTTTTCTCATGCTTCTCCTACATGTGACACTCTATAGGATAATTCCTATCCTTCCTCCAGCTCAAGCCATATATATTTCTTCTGCTTCTCAGCCCCACACTCTGAACCAAAGGTAGAGGATGGGCATCTTAGGCTCTCACCTTTTGTCCCACGGATGATGTGGATGCTCTCACCAGCATTAATTCTTGCCTGTACATCTGTGGAGCTGTTGAGTCCAGGAATAACAATATCTAGTGAAGACAGAGACCTCAGATTTAGATTACCTGACTGAGAGGGAAAGAAGATGCAAAGTCCACATCCACCCCTGTTCCTCAGTGGCTTCCCTAAAGCCTCTCAGTAGAGTGGAGGTCTGAACCAAGGAGGATGGGGCAAGCAGGGCCTCCTCTTGCAGCTGTCTAGCAAAGAATACTAGGAAAACGAGAAACTTTTTAGAAATCCAATCATCTTTCTGATCAATTTCCTTTCGTTTAATTAAAAATTCATAGAGTTTTAATTTGGAGAAAGTTCTAGTTCAGATGGTTATTTCTATGTTTGTTTATTTTCTTCCCCCCTAAGCTATCTGCATCCATCAGCTCCACATCACTTTAGGCCCCAAAAGTGGCCTCATCCTCTTCCTTGCTGGCATTACTCCACACCTAACTAAAGAATAAAAAGTATGTTCAAGAATCAGCAGAGAAGTAGGATCTCAAGAGGCTCTCTTTTTGTTTTTGCCCATTTCACAATGATTTTGCAATGGACCCACATTATTTTCATACTCAAAAAAACAAGATATTTTTATTAAAATTTATGTACCATGAATATTTCTAGCTAATACGATGAAACACAGCTCCACGAAATGCTTTCCTTCCCAATTACCCTGAATCACAGAACCAATCGCAGAGACAGACAGGCTGCCAGCCTCCTACCACAGGCCCACTATGCTCAACCTGTATCAAACTCACAAAGAAAGAAGCAAGTGACTTTCAGGTCTTCTAATTAAGTAGGGAGGTTGACAGTCATCCTTTATACCCAGCTGACCCTATAGTCAGGCAGGACTCAACACATTCACACCTCTCTCAGACCAACCCTGTGTCCCAGTGACATTTCCATAATCTCTGCAGTGCTCACAGTCTATCCCACATATCACATTTAAGAAAACCCAGTACTATAACCCAGTGTTATAATTCTTAAGATATTCCATTAGAATGCAAATTCCTCAAGATCAGGGACTATCTTCTCTATTTTTACCCACAGTGCTAACGTAGTGAGGCCCAGAACACAAAAGGTGTTTAATAAATACTTCCTGAATGAACAAAGTAAAGGGACAGGCAGCCCTGGAAGAGGACCTAGGAGTTCCCAACCTGTTGTGGTGACCACCTTCTGCACAAGGACCCCCGCACGCTGCAGGTAGTTGATCGGGAAGTTCATAGCTGGATTTGTGCTGGAGGCAGAGCTTACACTGCCTCCCAGTGGGACATGCCGGGGCATCATGGGGATGGGAGTGGACTGCACAGGACGAACACTGGCCACAGGCTTCTCATCACTCTTCAGTGTTGGCTGCCTGTGAGGGAAGGACAAACACACTAAGAGTTTGGCAGAAGAGCCCTTACTTACTGTTCTGCAAAGGCTGGAGAGCTTCTCCAGATTCCCCCATTCTACAGCCTCACTTGCTGCTGAGAAGGATCAAAGAACCTGCAGAGTATGGCCAGTTCAAAAGGAGACTAGGGGCAGGACCAAGATCAAATGGCAGCAAGGGATAAAACCTCTTAGATTCTAAGAAGAATCAGATGTTGGTGGAATAATACCTTTTTGGAGATGTGAGGTGACATTTACTCCTTTAGAATTTGGACTGTTTATATACATTAGGAATTAGTCCTTGAGGGAAGTTAGGAAGAGGTAAAGATGCAATAAGGGAGGAAAAGTTCTTCAGAACACAGTGCATGCCAAGTTGAAGACAAATAGGTGGAATTTTCCCCCTCACCCAAGTAAAAAGGGCCACGTGATGCCATACATTCAGGTGATCTTGAGAGAGCATCTGTCCAACTTCAACCATCTTTACTCTCTGGAACCTCAAGTTTCTATAAGTAATGCAGACACCTCTCTCTCTTCCATATTACCTTTCATTGGGCTCCTCCAGGGGCCAGTGTCCAAAGTGCCCCTCTAAGTCATGACTACCACAAAAGCAGTGGCCACGAAAAAGCTGTTCACAGAATCCAGGCTTCTGAATGGCACGTGGCCATCGCCAGCCTGAGCACACTGGCTGTGCATGTCTTATGCCAGCATGCCAAATGGTCAGTGACGCACTCCTCATTCTCCACTTTCTTTTCAACTGGATGTTGGTACCTTGAGAAAGCTACTCCTGATTTAAGATTTTTTTTCTATAAGCTCTCTGAAGTTTCGTGCCTTTGGTCTTTAGTTTTAGGGGAGAACTTCCTTGGATTGGTATATTCTTCCTTACCTGACTGAAGAACATTGCTCTGAGGTTGCTATAGGCACCTTTGGGCAGCCCTCTGGGCCCTGTCTGGACTCCCACATTCCCAGATAGGCCACATAGGACCCCAAGTTCACCACGTCTGGGTCCCTTTTCCTCAATCTGCCCAGGGTGGCTTTTCAGGAGGTAGGGGCTCTGGTCAGATGTCAGTGGGACTCTCCCCAGGATCCAAAGTCAAATCAGGGTAAAAGTCAGGAAAACAGGAACCCAGCCCAAGCCCCCTACTCTGGAGGAGCTGAAGCGAGGAAATTGGGCAGGAAACCCTCCTCACATACACCCAGATGGGATGAGGAATCAGCAGGATCATAGTATGTCTCATCAAGTATTATGAGAGGCTAGTGCCTCCCACGGGGCCAGAGCTGGACCAGAAAAGGAGCTGACATCGCCTCAGAGACCAGCCCATTTGTCACATCTTCCCCCAACATGGCTTTTCTCCCACTGAGTTCAGGCTTTGTCCATTCCTGTTGTTACATGGGAAAGGCCAGAAAAGAGAACAAAAGGGGTGGAGGACAAGAAAGGAGAACATTCCCAGGCAACAGTATCCTGGAAAATGACACAGAAATAAAGTATGAAGGCTTTGAAATAGAATAACGTTTTTCTTGAAAGCAACTTATACTTAAAAAGTAGCAAATTTACTCACCAAATATTAGAGTCTTCCATAAAATTTACATGGTTTCAGCTCCTTTAGAATCTCATTTATCAGGTTGTTTTGTTTTTTTTTAACATGGAATCTTCATAAGAAAAAAGCTTTAGGGCACCTGGGTGGCTCAGTCGGTTGAGCGTCTGCCTTCGGCTCAGGTCATGATCCCAGGGTCCTGGGATCGAGCCCCACATCGTGCTCCCTGCTCAGCCAGGAGCCTGCTTCTCCCTCTCCCTCTGCCCCAGTTCTCACATGCTCTGCTTTTGCTCAATCTCTCTCAAATAAATAATCTTTTTTAAAAAAAGAAAAAAGTTTTAAATCCCCCTCAAATAAAATAATAATCTTTAATTCAAGATAATAAAAAAATTTTTAAACAAACCACTCAATCAGGCAGCTAATCTGGTAAGGCCTATGAGGTACTTTGTCTTGAAATGAAAAAAAAAATTTAAACATAGATAAAGGTAATTTCTTACAAAGAGCCTCTCTCTTCACTCAGCAATTGGCTTCCAACGTGTTCATACTCTGAACAGTTCTAGAAGTTGTACTCAAGAAAAAGATTTTTTTCCTCAGGATCGTGGCACAACCACGGAATCAAATCCCATTAAGAGTAGGAGAATTCCTTGACTGCAATCCAGGACTCACAAAAGACTTGGCCTTCACCCTTGAACTTCACTGCTTAAGCAAGATCTAGGCCCAAGGCACTATGGATATGAAGGCAGCTGTGTGGGAGGGTTGGGCCTCTGTGTCTTAGAAAGCTGCACCTTCTCCAGGAGTTCAGAAAGACTCTTCTAAGGCACAAGGCCAGTGGCTCACTCTTCCAGCCAGAGCCACTACTTAAAACACCAGGGCTGCTGAACTGCTTCGGCACCTCATCCAAGAGCAGAACCTGTCAGTTCACAACAGCCAACGAGCAAGTTGTAGGCTTTCCCTTTGTTTAAAAACAGAACCAGTCAAATGGTTTGGGCCTGGCCCAGCAGCAGACCTTCCTCCCATTTCAGTGACTCACCAGTTTCTCTGACTGAAAGCAGGGATGCTGGTCAGGCTCTGGTCACTGGCAGGGTAATACTGCGCATATGATGGGCGGGTGTAGGGGACGGATGTGCGCTTGTCTTCCTCATAGCTTTTCTTTGCTGCTTTTTTCTCAGCCTTGGTCAGCTTGTGATCCTTTCGGTTAAGGAGCAATGACTCATGCTCAAAAGGCTCCTGGGGACACAGGAGGATGTTGATTTAATTACCACTCTTTGTGCCAACATGACTGAAATACAATGAGGCTTTCTCTGAAAACAAAAAAGGCTATCTCCAGCACTTGCAAAGAGCCTGCTCACAGACACACAGGCAGGTTTACTGTCTTTTTGTCAAAAGTATAATTCACAACTCTAACCCAGCCACACCTTTACAAAACCCAAGTCTGCCTTCTATATCAAAAGGATGGGAGCGTTCAGAGAATTAACAGACTACATTTCTACAATTTTCCCCCTTCTTTCTGCTAGGAAAAACTCACACTGGCCAAATTATTCCACATAGCTGAGCTGAGCACTCCTAGGACAAGACTGGGGTGGGAATAGGTGGTTGGGGGACTGCATGTGGCAAGGAGAAGAATCAGCTTAGTTTAAGTCCTCTGCATGAAACAAAACCTCAGATAAGCCTCCCTCCAGGTTCTCACCTTGGTGATGAGGTGAGGGTACTTCAGACAGGCAAGTTGCAGGACTGGCTCCTTGATCCCCTTTATGTTCAAGGATGCTTGGGGAGCTGGCTCCTTCTCAACAAAGTGCAGTAGGTTCTCCACCTCTTTCCGGGTAAAGTTCAGCATTGGATTAAGATCATCTACCACTCGATCTAGAAGGGAGAAGACACGGAGAAAGTCACTACACGGCTGAGAAGACTACAAAAGCACAGCTACGAAGATTGGCAGAGAGAGAGGTTGTGGGGGGCATAATTGTCACTGATATCTAAACTACCTCAGGCTATCCCATACTTCAAAGTCAAAGACCAGGTGCGAGGCCCTGGTGAAATGGAAATACCAAAAAAGAAACCTGTACACCTAGCTCAGCTCTTTTCATTATACCTGTCCTCGACAAGTTGAGGTCAACCCCATCTTAAAGCAATTGTTTTTTTTTTTCTTTTTTAAAGATTTTATTTATTTATTTGACAGAGAGAGACAAAGAGAGAGAGGGAACACAAGCAGGGGGAGTGGGAGAGGGAGGAGCAGGCTTCCCGCGGAGCAGAGAGCCCGACGCGGGGCTCGATCCCAGGACCCTGGGAACATGACCTGAGCAGAAGGCAGACGCTTAACAAATGAGCCACTCAGGGGCCCCTTAAAGCAATTATTTGAATCGGAATGAGATGGGAGGAACTGCTTTCTGTGATTCAAAGCCTACCTGTGTTCCCATAGCCTGCCCCTCTCCTCCCACCACTGACACAATAAGGATAGTATTGAGCCTGAAAGATGCCCCACCTGACATGCCCTGCTTGGAAATCTGACGGTCATAGATCTTCTTTTCAAGGGTGAAATCAGCCACAAGGCGATAAATGTGGCAGGGCTTTTTCTGGCCATAACGGTATACCCGACATACTGCCTGGGCATCATGGCAAGGGTTCCAGGAAGCATCAAACACCACCACTCGGTTGGCACCGATCAGATTCACACCCAAGCACCCGGCCCTTTAAAACACAAGCCAACAATCACAGAACTTTTAGTTATTAAAGACAGATTTTAAATTGGTTTCACTCTGTGACTCCTGCCCCAGTATTACCTCCTTTGTCCTAAGCACAACACATTGGAGGATTCTACTGTCCTGCCGATGAACAGTACATTCCTCAAGCACTGAAAAATATGCCCTGAAAATCCAACACAGAAGTATCTACCAGCTCAGAAAGAAAACCCACTCTCCACTCCTCTGTAATGGGTAAGGCCCCTGCATCCTGGCCACAGAGTAATGTCACTTGAAGGGAGACGTCTGCATGCAGATGTTTCTGGTGTGTTTAGTCTACCAGCCTTGGAAAATGACTAGTTCATACCCATCAAGGGCACTGTGATGGCAGAAAGCAGCACAGCCTTCAAACTGCTTGGCATGACAAATATTACTACCATCAGTCTTTTACAGTTACATTACACTTTCTACCTTTTTTTTTTTTTTTACACTTTCCACTTTTTAAAGCACTTTCACATTAATCACATCATCTAAGGCTCAGAACACTCCTGAGAGAAAAAGCTAATTATGCCCATTATTAATGAAGGTCTCAAAGAACTTCATGACACTATCACGATTACCCTCCTAACACAACTTCATTTTGGGGTCTCCTCTCTGACCTCAAAAACAAGTCACATACCTGAGCAGATCTCTTCTGACAGAACTCTGATGAGTCTTTGGGTATCTGCCTATGTGACCAACTGCCCTGAACACAGCCCTCTGACCTCCCCTCTCAGGATCCACTCACCTTGTGGACAGAAGGAACAGCCAGGTGGTGAGGTTGCTGGGATCATTGAACTGATTAATGAGCCGCTCCCTCTCAAAGGCAGGGGTGCTACCATCTAGCCCTAGGAGAGAAGAAAAACCACACGAAATGGACAGATGAGGGCAGGGGTACACAGCAAAATCACTGGGCAAATGTGTTTTAAAAACGAAAGAAACAAATACACTACAATACCCAGATTCCACTCCCCTGGACATTCCATGGGTTTACAGTGAGACCCAGACACCTATAATTAAAAATACCCCCATGTGCAACAAGAATTATAAACTATGTTTCTCCCTTTAGTATTTTAGGTCAATTCTAAGGCCAGGGTTCCTAGACTTCAGGGGGCATAAGAAGAATCACCCTAAATAGGGAAGCTCAGTAAACACTGGCTCAGGGTGACCTCTCTGCCTCAGACCTGTAAATCCTGGTGAGTGCAGAAGGAGCAAGAGTTCTGTTTTGATATGGATGATGTCCCTCCATCAGGAATTTGCATTGTTACAAGCTCCTATGATTAAGAACTTGCTCTAAGGAGACATTAAAAGGAATAGATCTGGAGCAGTGGGACGGGGCATATGGTTGAAAAGAGGGAAGTTCAAAGGAAGAAGAAAAAGTAACCTTCAGTTAAGAAGAAGCATGAATAAGAGAGGAGGGGGGCTACATTTGTCACCCCAGAGAAAAGGGCGAAACTAAGGAGATGAAACACCACATGGAGAACTGGATTGCTACCGTTATAGGAAGCCTTAGTTTAATTGCCTGGTACTAGAAGCTCTCTCAGTTGACACCCAACCTACCTTTCCAACCTGAGTTCCCACAATTTCCAAGCACAGCTCAGCACTGACTCACTGGGCAAGCCTATAGTCAACACAAGGCTGTGGGCTAGACCCTGTGCTGGGGGTCTTCCTACTAGCCCCTGTCCCTCCATTCTCTAAATACTACCTTTAGGCCAGTGCTTCCCAACAAGGGTGATATCCCTGCCCCCACATCCTACAGGGGACATCTGGCAATGTGTGGAGACATTTTTGGTGGTTATCACTAGGTGGATGCCACTGCCACCTAATGAGTAGAGACCAGGGACGCTGCTAAACATCTTACAATGCACAGGTCAGCCTCCCTACAAAAAGAATTATATGGCCCAAATGTCAGTATCTGGACAGTAAGCACCTGAAGTTAGTATTTCTCAACTTTTGTTTTTCATTACTGCCCTCTTAAGGAGCCTTTTTATACATTTTTCCCCCAATCAACATTACCCTCAAGAATTTTTAAATACCACAGATATACTGTATATGTTTATTTACTGCATGCCTATTGTGCTCTATACTTTTGAAAAGTTAAAAAAAAAAAATTTGTCCCCTCAAGAACTAATTTTCACCCCTTTAGGGACACTATCTCCACTATAGAGAATGCATGATCTGAGCTTATTTATATTCACTCTGCTCCTTCCTAGAATGACCTTTGGGCCACACTAACTCTATATATTTAAATTCTCCCCATCTTTGCAAGTCTACTGCAAGTTCCACCTCCTCCAGGAAGCCTTCTCCAACCATCCTCCCCGCAATGATTCTGTTCTCCTTAGAACCTGTTAGGGCACTCGACCAGTGCTACTTTGTATTTGTCCTGGAGTTGTCAGATGAAGACAAGGCTTATGCCTTCTACTTCTCGGATCTCCCCTATCTTGCCCAAGCTTCCCAGCCCCTAGTATAATGCCTCACACACAGCAGCTTGCTCTCAATATCTCCTTGCTCCTTGGCTACTCCAGATACTCCTATGCATTTGATGGAGAACAGAGTAGAAGATAAAAAGGCAGAGAAAGAAAGAGAACCCTTAAGGAGACCCTGCCAAGACTCCAGCAACAAAGCAGCAATGAACTCACGGAAGTAGCTGACGTTTCGAACCCACTTCTGTACTCCTTGCCCATCAGCACCAGGTAGACAGGGCACTTCTCGTTTCCCTAGGAACTCCTCGATGAGAGCCAAGGTGGAAAGGCTCTGGCTGGAAGGAACAACATTTGGTTCAGAAGGCTCTCAGACCCAAGGGAATCTTGTTCCCCAATGGGCTCACCATCATGTGCAGCCTTCTGACAGTGGGAGCTTCCAGAACCTGTACCCCATGAGAGGTAACCCCACAAAGAACCACCAAGGGTGTTCTCCCTAGCTCATAATGGGAGCAGAGTCATCTATACACTTATTGTCAGCACCCCACTAAATCTGCTACCCTATTACTTCCTCAACTGAAAAATTCTGGGGTTTAGCTCAGTGCATAGTAACAAACAGCATCAGCTTTAAAAACTAACATTACATGAATATACATAAGATCTAATTATAGGTCACAATCAATATTATGGGTCTTACTAAGGAGACAGAATCACTTGGCTACTTTCAAGTTATACAGAGAGGCAGTCTCCTCAGAAGTGATAACTTGAAATGGAACACTAGACTCCCCTAGTTAGAATCACTGGTATCCTCTCAAAGTGTGTCACCCATGGAAACCCTCACTCTGCGAGGCTCCCAAGCCAGGCTCCTGCCATTTAGCTCTCATTGGAGCATAATCTAGTCAGAACAACAACAAAAAAAACAATCAATTTTATATCTGTTTCCCTGAGGAGTCAGGTCTTGATGGACATCACAGTTCTGGCCAGACTGAGAATGTGACTCTGGAACAAATCACATTACTTATTTGACTTTATACACAAAGCATAAAAATAAATACATAAATACATAAACAAATAATTTTTTTTTAAAGTAAGTTACACACCCAACGTGGGGCTTGAACTTAAAACCCTGAAAGTAAGAACTGCATGCTCTACTGACTGACCCAGCCAGGTGCCCCCACAAAAATCTTTTAATTAAAAAAAATAAAAATAAAGGCTGGGGAAAGACCGAAGCACATTAGACCAGAAGTCAGCAAATGTTTTCTGTAAAGGGCCAGATAGTAAATATTTTTAGGCTGTGTAGACCACATACAATCTGTCAAATATTCTTCTTCTTCTTTTTTTTTTTTTTTTTTTTTTTTTTTTTTTTTTTATTCATGAGAGACAGAGCGAGAGAGAAAGGCAGAGGGAGAAGCAGGCTCCCAAGGAGCAGGGAGCCTGATGCGGGACTCGATCCCAGGACCCTGAGATCATGACCTGAGCCGAAGACAGACGCTTAACCATCTGAGCCACCCAGGCGCCCTTCTTCTTCTTTTTTTAAAAAACCCTTTAAAAATATAACAACTAGGTGCCTAGGTGGCTCAGTTGGTTGAAATGTCTGACTCTTGATTTTGGCTCAGGTCTCTCTTTTGGCTCTCAGGGTCGTGAGAGTGAGCCCCACGTTGGGCTCCATGCTTAGTGGGGAGTCTGTTTGTCCCTCTCCCTCCCCCTCTGGCTGCCCTACCACCACCCAGCTTGCTTACACGCACGCTCTAACTAAAATAAATAAATAAAATCTTAAAAAAAAAAAAAATGTAAAAACTAGCTCTCAGGCAGGCCACAGGCCAGATCTGACCTGGGCCATAATTTGAAGGATTAGACTATCACCTCTGATGTCAGTATTCCCTAATGTTTAAATTGTTCTCTGCAGAGAAATCACATTGGGCAAAATAAGAAACTCCAAGAAAGAGATGAAATGCAAGAAGGTCCTCACAAGAAGCACTGGGCTGCAGAGGCATGAAGAAAAAAAAGTAGGGGGAGTTGTGGCGACCCCAGACGGTCTCACTCTGTAGGGGCTGTGTCACTCTACTACAGATACATGATGTCATAGGGGAATTTCTCTTCCTACCTGAACACGAGAATCTTGTCCCCAAGCTTCACACTTTCCTCAATCAGGTGGAAAAGCAGTACCATCTTGGGAGAGTTCTCTAAGACCCCAGTCTGGTAATTAGTCAAAAGGTCCTTGGCCTGCAAGAGAGAAATGAGGCAGCTTACAGCAGGTCCATGCCAGAACACTAGATATAAAATTCACTCCTCCCAAAGCAGAAGCTCATGGACAACTTTATAATCCCCCGCAGAGACCTTGGCAGTACAGTACACTGTGCAACCCCCACCCTTTCCCCACCTAGGATTTGTACCATTCTCAGCAGTGGTTTATGGGCACAGAAGGATCTGCTTGACTCACCCATTCATATGTGACAATGTTGTTGCCGCGCTCCTGGAAAGGGTTGAAGCCAACCCCCTGTAGGTATTTGCTGTTGGTTGCCTCTCCCATTGAGGAGGCCAAGGTGCTGTCCTCCCCCTTGCCTTTTGTTCCCTGTGACGGGCAGCGGGCACTAGTCCCCGCTGAGCCAAGCTCTTCCACATCTAGGTCTTGCTCATTGGCCAGACTCTCCTTCTGAAGGGCTTCATATAGCACATCCGGGTGATTCCAGATCTGAGGTTCAAGTTAAAGGAGAAGTGGCACAGGGCAGAGAACAGTCTAAGGGTATCCCAGGGAGTCTGGAAACATGCACTTGCTCAAACACACACCTCCCACAGCATACACTGTCACATCAAAAATCAAAGCATCTCCAACCCCCTCATAGCCAAAGAGCCTACACATTCATTTTAACTAACCAAATGTGATCGCCATAACACGAGTGGAAGAGTTCCTACCAGTGGGCATGCCCATATGTTTGGTACATAATCAGAAAGGCTATGTCAAAAGCCTTGCTTTCTTATTTAAATAAGAATAATAATGTTCCCGTTTTGCGTGGCTACAGCCGACTACTATATGAAACAAGACTAATCTCTCCCTATGGACAAATGTATCTGACTTACAGATGACCAACCAGAAGTCATTTCAGGGACTATTTCTGGCAGGAGTTGAGAAATCCCGGGGTGCGGGGGACCAGAGGGGTGGGGTGGGGGGGGACAGGAAGGGCACGTTGGCACTGTAGCATCCTCAAAGACCATGTCTGCTGTAGCTTCCTGGCCCTGGTCTAGGACTATAGCTACAAAAAAAAAAAAACCATTTTGAAATCCCATCTGTCCCCTGACACACACCTTCAGCTGACTTATTAAAGCAGTGGTCAATGGGGAATAATACCCAATAGGTTGGCTGAGAGCTGTCAAAGAAACAGGTCCCTCATTACGCAACAGGGAGCACATACTAAAGATGTGCTAAAATGCTCACCTGTTCATGAAGCTTAGTGCTAAAGATACCTGGGCCCTTCTGTCCTCAAACCATCTCAAGCATTATCAGGATGAAAGAGATCTCAATCTCATTAAACACAGAATCAAACAGAAGGTACCCCAACAACTTGTCTAAGCTATATATTTCTTGAATCTTGATTACACTAGCAGTCAAAAACTGCCCTACAATGTTCTTCCATTACCCCTTCTTTGCAAGGGAAAAAAATCAGTGAGAAAGGAAGTGATCTCTTAAATTTGGTACAAGTTGTTCAAATGAACTGCACAACCGCAAGGAGCACCAATTATATCTTAGGCTATGACTAGCACCCCCCCTAGGAACTGTGCAGCACACACTGGCACATCTCTCCTTGGGGACCCCTATTCTCTGATGCAGCCAACCAAAGGTGGCCTCTCTCACTTTATTCTTCCTTTATCAAGGACTCCCAGCAGAAATAACTCCCTTGGGACCATGTGCACCCTTCATCCATATGTCAGTATTCCCTGAGGCCTCAACATACCTTGCAGCACACGCAGAAAGCCTTAAGGGGGTTCAGCCCCAGCCAGCCACTGCTACCACAGTCTCGGAAGCGGTCCATGAACTGTGTGTACAAATCTCGCTGGATCTTCGAGAGCCGCACCAGGATTACATTTTCTTCCTTGGCAGGGAGATGAATCTTCAGCACAGTGTGGCCTCTCCTACAAAGGCAGAGATCAGAATTGTCAAGCCTGTGTGGCCAGGATGGGTCAGTGCAGGAAAACAAAAGAACTCTGCATTTCTGCCACATCTCCTCTTGAGGATCTCCACATTCACAGCAGCCTTGCAATAATGAGGATTGGTTTAGTGACCCTCAGAGGAAACTCATTTTAAGGATAAGAACTAGAGCAAAGAGGACTGGGTGGCAGAGATTGGAAACTTCAGGTTCCTACCCAGATTCAGGGCTGTTTCTCTAAGCTTTCTGCACACATACCGTCTTAACAAGGAAAAACAAGGGGATTGCTTTAGACTACCCTATCTACATCCACTGAGATGCTAAAACTGGTGAGGCCATGCCCCGAGAACCAGCACTTCTGTGTTTTCACTAAGTCAGCAGAAGGCTAGCTCTCTTTTGCTTCTCAGCAAGTAAGCAGGTGGCAGGTATCTCTAGAAACTTTAAAGATTAACTTCTGAGGGAAGCACTTCTAGGCCAAACTTTCAGAGGACTGAAACAGCAGCTATCCATCATTTGTGTGCTATTCAGGAAAAGCTACTCATTAAAAGGGAAGTTTTACTATCACCCACTAAGAAGGGACCCTCCTGTTGTAACAGTTCCCCTTTGGGAAAGCTCTGCATGCCCATTACACCAAGGTCTCTCTGAGGATTCAAAAGACAGGGCCCTAAAGATGGCTCACCTCTGCACAAAGCCCTCCAGGAGGCTGTGCAAGACATGGCTCCGGTACCGCATTAGGCGGACATCCTGAGGCGTGCTGTCAATACACTGTCCGTTCAGGATAGGGCGCTCAAACATGTTGCTGAACTCCTGCCGGGTGCCGAGGAAGTCTGGGCGAACAAAGTCCACCATGCACCAGTACTCAATGAGGTTGTTCTGCAGGGGGTACCCGGTCAGCACCACCCGACGGCGAGAGCGAATGTTCTTCAGGGCCTGTGAGGTGCTGGCCTGGCAGTTTTTGATGCGGTGTCCCTCGTCACAAATCACCACATCAGGGCCAGGGCGGCATAAGGCCTTCTCAAACTCTAGGGAGGGAAGAGGATCCGGAGTCAGAGGGTGAGAGGGCCTGCTCTTAGTCAACAATATGAGAAGTAGGGGTGCACCCTGGAGGAGACAGAAGAAATGAAGGAAGCAGGAAAGCAAGAGTCAGCCCCCATTAGTGAAAGGGAGCCAACATCCAGGCTCCTGCGCATTTGGTGTGACATGGTAACCTGGACTATTGACTCTTGCAGTAAATACCTCTTTTCCCTCTTTCCTTTCCTTATTTTTGCTTTTTTTTCCTTTAGGCTAAAAGTAAAACACCTTGCATTCCTAGGGCTTATGCCAACTGGGTAGCAGAGAGCGTGACTTTACAGAGTACCAGACTAGGATTAAAAACGGGTCTGGGTGAGACTGATGGGAATCATCCAGACACTGCAGTCGGCTCTCACCCTCATCAGTGACTTGGCACCATCTGCAGGCTGGCTGGTGGGGAGTTAGCTAAAGGATAGAATCTTCCTGGAGTTACCTGCCAGTCATTGCTAAATGGCAAATTCATCCCAGCTCTACCACAGAAGCAAACCTAGAACAATCTACAGATGAAGAGACCTATAAAATGAAATGGCCACTGAACCTAAAAAAAACTTTCATCCCCAAATGGGCAAAAACCCCTTAGAAGAGGAAACAGAACTACAACTATGAGAAGAATGGCTTTCCCTAAAAAAAAACGGAGGTAAATTCTTTTATAAATTCATAATATTATTACCACACTGTATGCTAGTGATTTAAATACTTTATAAATATTTTCTTAATGCTATCCCAGAACACCTGTAGGGCAAGGTGAGGGGAACAGTCACTCTCCCAGCTGCTCTGTGAGAGAAACAGGGCCAAATGGGCAGGGGAGTCTCCTTGAGCCAGCCTGTGCATGGCCCACCCAGAATTCCACAGCAGGCAAGGAAAGCAGCACCTTCTGAGAGCCAGGGGAGGTCATCCCACCGATCTTAGGGACCAAGATTTCTGGCACGTGACAATACAACTCATATCAATAACCTTCAAATTTCACTTGGTGCTACTACAGACACTATTTCCTTTCTCCTAAAACACCACCCCTAAGGGTATCCCAGGGATAGGCTGCCCACCTCTCCGAAACTCCTGCTGTCGATCTTCCTCATCCAGATCAATGATGACCGGGTGAGAACGTTTCTTGGTTTTCTTCGATCTACCTGTGGCAAAGGATTTCTTCAGGGTGAGGAGTCTGTACATTTCGTACCCCATCAGCAGTACCCCACCCTCTGACACCCAATCAGCCATCACTTTAGCACGAGCTGCCATTGTCCTGCAAGAGTGAACAGAGAAAAAATTACTGCTTCCACTGCTCCCCAGGAAGAACTGCTCACAAGCAGAGCCGTGCTGATATACATTAAGTGGCGGCATCGCCGTGGCTGGCCAGCTGTCCAAGGACTCCCCAGCATCCCAGAGACGCTCATGTCACTGAGGATGGACTGGGTCACCAATGACAGTTACACAGCAGAAAAACAGAAGTGCAACGGCACAAGGCAAGCAAAAGTGACAACTCCTGGGACGCCGGGGTGGCTCAGTTGGTTAAGCGTCTGACTCTTGATTTTGGCTCAAGTCATGGTCTCAGGGTTGTGAGATTGAACCTCGTGTTGGGCTCCGTGCTGGGCGTGAAGCCCGCTTAAGATTCTCTCTCTCCCTCCACTCCCACCCACGCCCTCTCCATCTCTTAAAAAAAAAAGGTGACAACTCCCTTGGATATACATGCATGGCTACAATTCTACGTTTGAGAGAGAATTTCAAGTTATTCCCATAATAAATACAAGGTAGTAAAAGCAAGGACAATATTCTGCATTTTACCTGCCCGGGCCCTGGTGAGTAAAGAGCCAAGGACAAGCAATAAAGGAGAAAGAGCAGCAGAGCCCAGATGACACTCAGCACAGTTCCTCTACTCCTAAACAACTGAGCCCTGACTAATTCATTAACTGCATGTGGACAAACGGTCCTGAAACCCAAGAAACAAGAGCAGGTGATCAACCATCTAGGAGGCCACTCACAGTCTCCTCATTTTGATGTGTGTGACCAAACATCACAAAAGGCAGCCTCTGCAGAAAACAAAGGCTATCTTCTCAATTATCCATGCCAGCGAGGGGAAAGGATAACATGGATAGCTGGCTTGAACCAAGAAATAGCTTTAGAATTTGGGAAATTTAGTTGAATTTATGAAATGGAAATATAAATAATTTTATTTACATCTAAAACAAAAGTTTGCACTTTTCAAAGCTTGAAAGTTGTACCATTAAAGGTCAACTGTAGATCAGTGCTAAAAAGAGACTGTTGATTAGGCTTCTAAGAAAGAGAAATGTAAAAGGTGAAAAGTTAAGAGGAGGTGGACAGTTTTCATTTCGTCATGTTGAATTTTACTATCCACTTGGGAAAATAGGACGAAATATGCGTATTTTTCAGGATATAAAAGCATCTTCAAGCAGAACATAAGAAATTTCCCAGGCTACCTAACTGACTTTACTGAAAAGCCAGGTAGAGGAAGAAATGAGTAATAAGGGGTGGGGGGCACATCGAGAAACCAAAAAGAATCTGGGAAGACAGGGTTCATATGCAAATAGATTGCCTTGATATCCAGACCCCGGGAAGAAGTCTAAAAGGAAAGAGCAAAGAGGAGAAGGTAGACCACCTACTTGTGCTCATCATTCAAGATGTGAACTTTAAAGAAGCGAGGCTGGACTTCTTCAGGCTTGTTGTCAGCTGGAAGGGCTTCAGGAGCTGGAAGCCACATGTTGAACTCTGCCAGCCAATTCTGAAGAGTATTAACCTGTCAGAAAGCCAAGTCCAGGAAGAGTTTTAAGAAAGAAGCTCAAAGTTGAGCTCATTGAGCTTTTCAGTACCCAGCAAGGCATTAACCCAGAGCTCCTCAGAGGGCTGACTAAATGATGCCTTCCCCAACTCTTACCGGCACAATGGCAAGGACGGTTTTGGCTGGCGTGTGGCGGAAGAGGACATCGATGAAGGATATCACTTGCAAAGTTTTCCCCAGACCCATGCTGTGGGCCAGGATACAGCCAAAGCCACTACTGGTCTTAAACCTCTCCAGGGATTCAACCAGGTTATCATACAGGAACCGGATCCCACCAATCTGACAAGGGACAAACACAGGCATAGTTAAAGGAGCTGGCAAAGACCAGGGCTTTAGTTTTATTCATCTTGGAACTAGTCAGAATTAAGTAAATGAGCAGATACCACAAGAGACAGTTGGTGTGAATGGCTACAGAAGTTTCCCTGAACCCTGACTAGTCTATTGGCTGGTGACAGTCTTCTTAGAGAAAACACAGAAAATCATTCACCTGGCACAATGGCCCATCTAAGGCAAAAACCTGCAGTACCAAATTCTTTTTTTTTTTTTTTTTAGCTTTTATATGAGTTTATTCTTCATTTAACTTTTAAAACACTACTATAGTTGAATATTAAAACAAAAACAATAGCAAGTAGTGAGCTATGATTATAGTCCTTCACTCATTCACTACTGCATATAAAATGCCAGCAGTGTTACTCACTGACCCCATTAAGAGGTCTGACACTGAACACCACCCCTGGGATGATGTTCATCATCCTCATAGGCTTCCCCATTGTAATGGCGCCGTCTTTCCTGATTTGGATCAAAGTCCACCAGTTCTACCTGGTCCATTTCATCAGTCTCTTCTACTTCCTTCCTCTCAGGTAGGAGTTTTTCCAGGAGAGAGAAAGCCATTCTCAGGAAAGTTTACCTTAAATTCGATGATTAGGCGACCCTTCTCATATGGTCTACGATAAGTTGGCATGCCTTAATTTAGCACACACTTGATATCTCCATGCTTGACAATTTGACCTGGGTGAGAGGTGATGACGATGGTTCGGTTGTCAAGAGTAGATATTGGCTTTTGAAGGCCGCACAGTGCTTCAACCAGCTGTATGTCCATACACATGAAAAGGTCTTCTCCTCGCCAGGTAAAAACAGCGTGGTCCTTCTGATCTAAAATAATGATAATATCTCCTGGTTCCAGTCCTGGTTCTTGGTCTCCTTCACCATGGAATGTTATCTTCTGGCCATCCTTCATACCTTTATCAATATGAACTTCTAGAATCTTCTTCTCTCAAACTATCTTCCTCCCATTGCAGCTTTTACATCTATCTTTGGGACTGATCTGTTCCCCATGGCCCTGGCACTCCATGCACACAGACTGAATTTGCTGAACCATTCCAGGTCCTATCTGATGAGTTCTTGTTTGCATTCCAGTACCTCGGCAATTGGGACAACATTCGACTGCTCCTTTCTTACCACCTCGGCCTTCACATTTATCGCAAATCACATTCTTCTGCAGAGCTAAGTTTTCTTCTTGCACCATTATACAAATCTTCTAAGGTTACTGAGAGGTGGTGCACAACATTTTTACCTCTCTTTTCTCTCTGCATCCTTCCTCCTCCTCCAAAAAACATATCAAAGATGTCCATGGGGGAGCCAAAACCACCACCAGCTCCCCCTGTTCTCCTTTGTCATATAATTCCCTTTTCTTTGCATCAGAGAGTACTTCGTAAGCTTGAGAAATCTGTTTAAACTTCTCTCCTTCATTTGGATTCTTATCAGGGTGGTACTTCAAGGCCAGTTTCCTGTAGGCCTTTTTCAATTCCTCTTGGGTGGCATTGGGTTTGACCCCCAAAACATCATAGTAAGTGGTTTCTTTCACCATTTTCTACAGCCGGTGAGAGGGCCGAGGCCGGTGTGGGGGAGCGGGAAGGAGCACGTTGCTGGGCGCAGCTCAGGCAGCCGCCGCTCCTCCGCGTCTCACCAAGCATTCTGGAAAGTTCCTGCAGTACCAAATTCTTCACAGCGTCTCTCACTCAGCCCTTGGTTGCTTACCTCAAGATAGCCCATTCCATGAGGAGCAGTTCTTATTAAGAGTTATTATGCTGAGTCAACCTCTGTCTTCATGGAACTTCCACTTGGTTCCACTTGGTTCCACATGGAACACCACTTGGTCTTGTTTCAGGGCTCTGGGTCAACACAAACCACTCTGTTCCCTCCTATCAGGAAGTTCTTCAGACTTCTGACTCTTAAATCTCTTCTGGAACTACTTCCAGAATCAAATCAATTTCCTAATCAAAGCACTGCCCTCCAGACAGCATCCCAATCAGTCTTGCAGATCTCACAGAAGGAAGCTCAAGATCATTAAGCCGAGAGACCCAGCACCTTCTACACAATAGGGCAAACCTAAAGCTTGCCCTTCCCATTCATCAGAAATCCTGAAGCATCAACTGCTAAGAGGAAGGACACAGGCCTTTCCAATAACCTGCTTCTAGGTACCAAACAAGTACTTCACAGGCTGTGATGCTAAAAGCCACCAGCAGGTGATGCTCTCAGCAAGGAAGCTGAAAGGAAACAAAGAGGAGAGTCAGGATTTGTTGTACCTGATGCGGCTTCACTGCCCGTGCCAACTGCGGGGCCAGGAAGACATTCTCCTCCTCTGGAGGGTGGTTCAGGTTGACGAGGACCCGCCCCAGAGCATCGCGCTGGTTTAAGATATCGTTCACATGGGTGCCACCCTTCTCCTCTTCTTCATCCTCCTCACTGACAGACTCACTGCTGTCCACAATGTGCAGAGTGTCCTCCTCTCCAGAGCTCAGTTCAATCACCTCTGAGACAGCCAACAAAACAAAACAAAAACCCAGGGAGCAGAGATAATTTACTGCCCATCATTAAAGCATTACAGCATGGAAACAAAGTTAGAACTTGTCATCACTTGTAAATTTTGAGTTTTATTATTTCTCTCTTCCAGCTTCAAGTTAAGACAAGGGAAAACCCTACATTTATAAGGAGACTCTGGGACATTTGTCACAGTCGGACCCCAAACCGAATGGGGAAGGACTGATTTCGATTCAGAGGTACAGCCAACTACTCAGGGTAAACATTGAGTCAGGAGGAAGTGGAGGGACCTCTGGCTCGACCTTACCATCTCGACTGCTTTTCTCATCCTCACTGCCACTGCTGCTGTCCAAACAAATGACTTCCTGGGCCAGGACCCGAGGAGGCAGTTGCGGACCATCACTTGCTCTTAAGACAATTTCCTCTAGGGAAGGAAAGATGGAAGGGAATGTCAAAACCACATTTATCTCAAACCTACCGCCCCAAATGACTTTTCAGCCTTTTTCCTTTGTTGCTCTCAAGGGGACTATCCCCTGAGGAGAGAAGCAGAGGGGTGTCTCAAATACCTCAGTCCCCTTTCTAACTTCCCTTGTCTTTACTGGTTCTTACCTCCTGGTGTCCACCTGACCACTAGAAAAGATCCTAATCCCTTGGCATGTTAAGATCCAAAGTTATGGTAGAAAAAATTCAAGTAAGATCCAAGGAGTACATTAAAAAAAAAAAAACCACACACAATTACTTCTTTTTTTTTTTTTTTTTTTAAGTAAAGTCTACGCTCAATGTGGGGCTTGAACTCACAACCCTGAGACCGAGTCTCATGCTCTACCCACTAAGCCAGCCGGGACCCCTGAGGGGTACATTTTTACCCATCTTAAATTTTTAGATGTTTCTGATCATTTGCTCCTAAGAAACTGAATGACTCAAAACGATTCCTGAGAGGCCACAGTCTTATTTCAGATCTGCCCCTCACCACTGTGTGTGCCCAAGGCCTCTTCTCCCTACACTTCAGGGCCTTTCCCGCCACCTCCACTGCTTACCGGGAAGGAACTCCAGGGGAACTGTAGGAATGGGGGCGGCGTAATCCTTCCTCTGTTGCTCCAGGCGTTTCCTTCTTTCCAACTCTTCCTGTTGTGCTGCTTTGGTAACCGGCTCCAACTGATCCTCCCGGAGCAGTTTTCTAAACATTACAAGAGTGAGCACTTGGGTTGGTTTACTTGAGATTTGGGCAATGTAATGTCAAGCTAAAAAGCTCATTGCTGAGCTCACAGATCTGAGGCAGGAGGAAGAGAAGCCCCATCAGTCCCATACATCCATGCAACAGGCAAGGTTAAAAAAAAAAAAGAGGTGGGGGAGACTACAAGGCTCAGGTGATTCTGGGCTAACATTTTTTCATATTATTTAACTTCCTGAGACATGCCCCTAAAGATTCATCTTTGCATAATCAAGAGTAAAACAGAGTAATTCATGATTCATCAAGTTGAAAAACAGTATTAAAAAATAGAGTTGTTATGTGGGAAAGTAGGATTATAGATGATTCTGCATCTTTATTTCCCAAACTTTGAGTAAAATTTTTTTTAAATTTTATTTTATTATGTTATGTTAATCACCATACAATTTATTTTATTTTATTTTATTATGTTATGTTAGTCACCATATGATACATCATTAGTTTTTGATGTGGTGATCCACGATTCATTGTTTTCGTATAACACCCAGTGCTCCATGCAGTACGTGCCCTCTTTAATACCCATCACGGGGCTAACCCATCCCCCCACCCCCCTCCCCTCTAAAACCCTCAGTTTGTTTCTCAGAGGCCATAGTCTCTCTTGGTTCATCTCTCCCTCTAATTTCCCCCCCTTCATTTTTCCCTTCCTTCTCCTAACGTCCTCCATACTATTCCTTATGTTCCACAAATAAGTGAAACCATATGATAATTGACTTTCTCTGCTTGACCTATTTCACTTAGCATAATCTCCTCCAGTCCCATC